AGCCTAACTTACTGTCTTTTTTATGAATTTAATGAATTTTGACATTCGCAAAAATAAAGAACGTATATATTTATAGTAAACCCAATTTTCTAAGGTCTAGAGCTAACGAAATTATGGATATACAGCCCGTGAATTCATCGACACCCTATAAAGAACTAAGTATGAGGCCCGTGACTTCACCAACACCCTATATAGTATTGAATCAGAGGCCCGTGACTTCACCGACACCCTATATAGTATTGAGTCAGAGGCCCGTGACTTCACCGACACCCTATATAGAACTGAGTATGATGCCCGTGACTTCACCAACACCCTATATAGTATTGAGTCTGAGGCCCGTGACTTCACTGACACCCTAAATAGAGCTGAGTATGAGGCCCATGGCTTCACTGACACCCTATATAGAGCTGAGTATGAGGCTCGTGACTTCACCGACAACCTATGTAGAGCTGAGTATGAGGCCCGTGACTTCACCGACACCCTTTTTAGTATTGAGTCTGAGGCCCGTGACTTCACCAACACCCTATATAGTATCGAGTCTGAGGCCTGTGACTTCACCGACACCCTATAAAGAACTACATATGAGGCCCGTGACTTCACCAACACCCTATATAGAGCTGAGTATGAGGCCCGTGACTTCACCGACACCCTATATAGAGCTGAGTATGATGCCCGTGACTTCACCAACACCCTATATAGTATTGAATCTGAGGCCCGTGACTTCATCGACACCCTATAAAGAACTAAGTATGAGGCCCGTGACTTCACCAACACCCTAAATAGAGCTGAGTATGAGGCCCATGGCTTCATCAACACCCTATATAGTATTGAGTCTGAGGCCCGTGACTTCACCAACACCCTATATAGTATTGAGTCAGAGGCCCGTGACTTCACCGACACCCTATATAGAACTGAGTATGATGCCCGTGACTTCACCAACACCCTATATAGTATTGAGTCTGAGGCCCGTGACTTCACCGACACCCTAAATAGAGCTGAGTATGAGGCCCATGGCTTCACCAACACCCTATATAGAGCTGAGTATGAGGCCCGTGACTTCACCGACACCCTATATAGAACTGAGTATGATGCCCGTGACTTCACCAACACCCTATATAGTATTGAGTCTGAGGCCCGTGACTTCACCGACACCCTAAATAGAGCTGAGTATGAGGCCCGTGACTTCACCAACACCCTATATAGAACTGAGTATGAGGCCCGTGACTTCACCAACACCCTATATAGAACTGAGTATGATGCCCGTGACTTCACCAACACCCTATATAGTATTGAGTCTGAGGCCCGTGACTTCATCGACACCCTATAAGGAACTGAGTATGAGGCCCGTGACTTCACCGACACCCTATATAGAGCTGAGTATGAGGCCCGTGACTTCACCAACACCCTATATATTATTGAGTCTGAGGCCCGTGACTTCATCGACACCCTATAAAGAACTAAGTATGATGCCCGTGACTTCACCAACACCCTAAATAGAGCTGAGTATGAGGCCCGTGACTTCACCAACACCCTATATAGAGCTGAGTATGAGGCCCGTGACTTCACCAACACCCTATATAGAACTGAGTATGATGCCCGTTACTTCACCAACACCCTATATAGTATTGAGTCTGAGGCCCGTGACTTCATCGACACCCTATAAGGAACTGAGTATGAGGCCCGTGACTTCACCGACACCCTATATAGAGCTGAGTATGAGGCCCGTGACTTCACCAACACCCTATATATTATTGAGTCTGAGGCCCGTGACTTCATCGACACCCTATAAAGAACTAAGTATGAGGCCCGTGACTTCACCAACACCCTAAATAGAGCTGAGTATGAGGCCCGTGACTTCACCAACACCCTATATAGAGCTGAGTATGAGGCCCGTGACTTCACCAACACCCTATATAGAACTGAGTATGATGCCCGTTACTTCACCAACACCCTATATAGTATTGAGTCTGAGGCCCGTGACTTCATCGACACCCTATAAGGAACTGAGTATGAGGCCCGTGACTTCACCGACACCCTATATAGAGCTGAGTATGAGGCCCGTGACTTCACCAACACCCTATATATTATTGAGTCTGAGGCCCGTGACTTCATCGACACCCTATAAAGAACTAAGTATGAGGCCCGTGACTTCACCAACACCCTAAATAGAGCTGAGTATGAGGCCCGTGACTTCACCAACACCCTATATAGAGCTGAGTATGAGGCCCGTGACTTCACCAACACCCTATATAGAACTGAGTATGATGCCCGTGACTTCACCAACACCCTATATAGTATTGAGTCTGAGGCCCGTGACTTCATCGACACCCTATAAGGAACTGAGTATGAGGCCCGTGACTTCACCGACACCCTATATAGAGCTGAGTATGAGGCCCGTGACTTCACCAACACCCTATATATTATTGAGTCTGAGGCCCGTGACTTCATCGACACCCTATAAAGAACTAAGTATGAGGCCCGTGACTTCACCAACACCCTAAATAGAGCTGAGTATGAGGCCCGTGACTTCACCAACACCCTATATAGAGCTGAGTATGAGGCCCGTGACTTCACCGACACCCTATATAGAACTGAGTATGATGCCCGTGACTTCACCAACACCCTATATAGTATTGAGTCTGAGGCCCGTGACTTCATCGACACCCTATATAGAACTGAGTCTGTGGCCTGTGACTTCACCGACACCCTATATAGAGCTGAGTATGAGGCCCGTGACTTCACCAACACCCTATATATTATTGAGTCTGAGGCCCGTGACTTCATCGACACCCTATAAAGAACTAAGTATGAGGCCCGTGACTTCACCAACACCCTAAATAGAGCTGAGTATGAGGCCCGTGACTTCACCAACACCCTATATAGAGCTGAGTATGAGGCCCGTGACTTCACCGACACCCTATATAGAACTGAGTATGATGCCCGTGACTTCACCAACACCCTATACAGTATTGAGTCTGAGGCCCGTGACTTCACCGACACCCTATATAGAACTGAGTCTGTGGCCCGTGACTTCACCGACAGAGTACTGAGTATGAGGCCCATGATTTCACCAACACCCTATGTAGAACTGAGTCTGAGGCCTGTGACTTCACCGACACCCTATTTTCCACTAAGTTTGAGGCCCGTGACTTCATTGACATCCCTACATATATAGTACTAGTACTAAGAAATATGCCTGTGACTTCATTTACACTGTATTCCATGAAATAAACATAACAATCCACATTATCAGAGCAGAAATATTCATTACAATAGTGAACAAATGTACACACAAATTCACACTTTTTTGTCAGTTTGTAGTCATTTACTTTGTTTTAAATGTACAACAATGCAATTTCATCATGTTCATCTATGTATAATAAAATTAGCCATTATTAAAAAAACAAGAGGCCCAAGGGCCTTAACGGTCACCTGAGTGTAATACAACAATTTAAAGGATGCATCGAGTATAAAATGAACTGAAAGGTAAAGCTTTGTTGCCCAAAAGCAAGAAAAATAGGGTGATCAGGATAAACAAAATAATTAGTCTTACTTTTCATTAACAGTTCATAAATTAGGTCCTAATCTGTTCCCCATTTATCACTATCACCATATACAGTATATTAACAAATTATCAATGCTTCTGAACTATTTTAATCCCTTGTTGATATCTCTTACATTGGCCTCTCTTGGTCTTTGATGAACATTTAATAAGACAGGTTATTTTTGACTCATTTTTATTTATCTACTACTTACAACCTGATCATTAAAACTATGAAAGTACTTTTTGAGACAATAAAAATTCTTGCATAATTCTCTTATACTATTTACCTTTCAAGTACATTATTTACAGTGATTAATTATCAAAAGTAAATGGCAAAAGGGAATAACTCCTCTCAGTAGAATGCAAATTAATAGAGCCCTGGCCAGGACCAGAACATTTAACCAAATGGTCCAGATGTTCAAAAATCTGGTAAAAATACCCTTCTTTATAAAAACTTTACTCTGTTTGCCTCAGATATGCCTAGGTGCGGAGAAGATTTTTAAAGAAATAATGCAATTTTACTACAGATTCACTAAATTATCAATAGAGCCCCCCCCCCCCCCCCCCCCCCCCCCGAGAAACACCAAACACCAGAGCCTCTGACCCTGGGACCATATGTATACCTAATCACTTTGCTTATCTGTTTATCATTAAGTAGCAAAACAGGATTATTTAATAGAATTAATGCATTTTCACTATATTATCAACAGCCCCACCCTTACACCAGCACATCTGACCCACTGGGGTCACGAAATTCATTAATCTGGAAGAAGCACTCTTGCTTTTTCACTTTATAATCAATTGAAGCCCCCCCCCCCCTCACCAGAACCCTTGAACCTGGGGTCATGAAATTCACAATTTTGGAAGAGGCATCCTTGCGTATCATAACAATGTACTTAGTTTGTTTAAATAATACACAGGGGCAGAGAAGAAGATTTTCAAAGAAATAATGCACTTTCACTATAGGATCTATATAGCCCCGCCCTAGCACCAGAACCCCTGTCCCTGGGGCCATGAATTTCACAATTTTGGAAGAGGCATCCTTGCTTATCATAACAATGTACTTAGTTTGTTTAAATAATACCCAGGTGTAGAGAAGAAGATCTTTAAAAAATTAAAACATTTTCACTTTATAATCAATAGAGCCCCACCCTAACACCAGAACCCCTGATCCAGGGGCCATGAATTTCACGATTTTGGAAGAGGCAACCTTGCTTATCATAACTATGTATTTAATTTGTTTAAATAATACCCAGGAGTAAAGAAGATTTTTAAAGATTGCATTAATTTTGATGGTTTTGGCTCCACCCCTCAGGCCCCAGGGGGGCAGGAGCCACAAATTTCACAATTTTTGTTCCCCTTCATCCATAAATGCTATATGCCAAAATTGGTTGAAATTGGTTCACTGGTTCCAGAGAAGAAGCTGAAAATGTTCAAAAGTTTACGACTGATGGATGACACGCCGCACAGCGACGGACGAAAAGAGATAGCAATAGGTCACCTGAGTAACTCAGGTGACCCAAAAATATATAAGAAATGATTACCGATTAATTGTCATTTAAATTCTTTAAAATTTATAGTTAAATAGAATTCACTTTAACTTGCACATATGGTAACAATTAAACAAATTCTTAAATTTCAAATATAACACCAGTTATGTTTATTGTAACTACATGCATCAGCAATGCATTAAATGTGACATTAAGATTGCAGATAATTAGTACTTATACAGTAATACCAGCATGCAATACATGTATGCATTTCAATTGTTTTGTTTTCTTTTGGCCTTCTTCATAGACATTTCTGTTTGTTGACTGATCTTTTCTCTGCCTCTTCTATTAATTGGCATTCCAGTTCCCAAACACAGACAAAGGAATATATGGCCTTCTTCATTAAGACATTGATTTAAGATGTGCATGCCTAAACTGAAAATGTTTATAAAAATGTGTAATACATGTAAATATTAAATTAAATTAAATATCTGGTATAAATAAATTTGTCTGCATTTTTTTTTCAAATTGACAGTCCTGAATAATTACATTGTTAACATTATAACTTACAGGCCCATGGGCCAAACTCTCACCTGAGTCAGTATGGCATTGCTATTCTTCATCAGCAGATTTTTTTCATTATTCCCATGTGGCTTTGATCACCAATTGTGGACCCAACATATATTTCCAATATGACAATCATTAATGAACTTACTTTCAATATTAATTCTTTGAGAATGAACTTTCATTTTTGCACAAAAAGCACTTTAAGTCATCTACTAGTGATAAGAAATACCAATGCTGAGTTTTAAACTAATATTACAAAATCAAGCTGCTGGAGATTACATAATTCTGGCTCATGATAGGACAAACAGACCCCAATAACTACCATATTCTTTACCCAGGGGGATGGTGATAGACAAATAAAGAAAAAGAAACACTTACACTGGATATTCTCTCAACAGCTTCTCATTAGTATGTTATTCTCCAGAACTGTACAAGTGTGGTATCTGGTATATATTGACCTGAAAAGGTGTTGAAATACTGTATTAGAAAACTCGTTAAATACTCCTAAATGAAGGATTCCTCTTTCTTTCTAATGCAAAATCAAGGCCCCCATGACCAAAAAAACAAGAGGCCCATGGGCCACATTGCTCACCTGAGCACACTGGCTAGGCAAAAGCACAAATCAGTTCAGTATTGAAAAGATTACGGGGGGCTTGAATTTTTAACTACCTGATGTCATATCAATATAACAAATGGCTTGTTGTACTTGAAAAGATTTTAAAATATTTTTCCCATATATTCCTTTGTAAAAATTTGATCCCCCATTGTGGCTCCTCCCTATCCCAGGGGTCAACATTTGAACAAACTTAAATCTACAGTACCTGAGGATGCTTCCATATCAATATCACTAAACATAGCTTTTCTGTTCTTGAGAAGAAATATTTTTTCTATATGTTCTTATGTAAAACTTTTGACCCCCCATTGGGCCCCACCCTACCCCCAGGGGTTATCATTTGAACAAAATTGAATTTACACTACCTAAGGATGCTTTCATATCAAAATCACTAAACATGATTTTCAGTTCTTGAGAAGATATTTTCCTATATGTTCCTATGTAAAATTTACGATCCCCCATTATGGCCCAACTCTATCCCCGGGGGTCAGCATTTTAACAAACTTGAATCTACACTACCTGATGATGCTTCCATATCAAAATGACTAATCATGACTTTACAGTTCTTCAGAAGTAGATATTTTCCTCTATATATTTCTATTTAAGACTTTGATCCTCCATTGTGGCCCCACCCTACCCACGGTGGTCATGATTTGAACAAAATAGAATCTACACTACCTGAGGATGCTTCCACATAAATATGATCAATCAGGGCTTTGCTGTTCTTGAGAAGAAGATTTTTAAAGATGTTTCCTATATATTTCTATGTAAAACTTTGATAGTCCATAGTGGCCCCACCCTACCCCCGGGGGTCCTGATTTCAACAAACTTGAATTTACACTATCTGAGGATGCTTCCATAAAAATATGACTCATCATGGCTTTGCTGTTCTTGAGAAGATTTTTCCTAAATATTCCTAATTATGCACAACTTTGACTGTCCATAGTGGTTCTATAGGGTGTCAGTTAAGCCAAGAGGCTCAGACTCAGTACTATATAGGGTGTTGCTGAAGTCACAGGCCTCAGACTCAGTTCTATATAGGGTGTCGGTGAAGTCATGAGCCTCAGACTCAGTTCTATATAAGGTGTCGGTGAAGTCATAGGTCTCAGACTCAGTTCTATATAGGGTGTCGGTGAAGTCATGGGCCTCATACTCAATACTATATGGGTTGTCGATGAAGTCATGGGCCTCATACTCATTACTATATAGGGCCTCAGACTCAGTTCTATGTAGGGTGTCGGTGAAGTCATGGGCCTCAGACTCAGTTCTATTTAAGGTGTCGGTGAAGTCACGGGCCTCAGACTCAGTTCTATATAGGGTGTCGGTGAAGTCACGGGCCTCAGACTCAGTTCTATATAGGGTGTCGGTGAAGTCACGGGCCTCAGACTCAGTTCTATATGGGGTGTCGATGAAGTCACGGCCTCAGACTCAGTACTCTATAGGGTGTCCGTGAAGTCAAGGGCCTCATACTGAGTTCTATATAGGGTGTCAGTGAAGTCACGGGCCTCAGATTCAGTACTATATGGGGTGTTGATGAAGTCACGGGCCTCATACTCAGTTCTATATAGGGTGTCGGTGAAGTCACGGGCCTCAGACTCAGTTCTATATGGGGTGTCGATGAAGTTACGGGCCTCATACTGAGTTCTATATAGGGTGTCGGTGAAGTCATGGGCCTCAGACTCAGTTCTATATAGGGTGTCATTGAAGTCATGGGCCTCAGACTCAGTTCTATATAGGGTGTCGGTGAAGTCATGGGCCTCAGACTTAATACTATATGGGGTGTCCATGAAGTCACGGGCCTCATACACAGTACTATATAGGGTGTCTGTGAAGTCACGGGTCTCAGACTCAGTTCTATATAGGGTGTCGGTGAAGTCACGGGCCTCAGATTCAGTACTATATGGGGTGTCGGTGAAGTCACGGGCCTCATACTCAGTTCTATATAGGGTGTCGGTGAAGTCACGGGCCTCAGACTCAGTTCTATATGGGGTGTCGATGAAGTTACGGGCCTCATACTGAGTTCTATATAGGGTGTCGGTGAAGTCATGGGCCTCAGACTCAGTTCTATATAGGGTGTCGGTGAAGTCACGGGTCTCAGACTCAGTTCTATATAGGGTGTCGGTGAAGTCACGGGCCTCAGACTCAGTTCTATATAGGGTGTCATTGAAGTCACGGGCCTCAGACTCATTTCTATATAGGGTGTCAGTGAAGTCATGGGCCTCAGACTCAGTTCTATATAAGGTGTCGGTGAAGTCATGGGCCTCAGACTCAGTTCTATATAAGGTGTCGGTGAAGTCACGGGCCTCAGACTCAGTTCTATATAAGGTGTCGGTGAAGTCACGGGCCTCAGACTCAGTTCTATATAGGGTTTCGGTGAAGTCACGGGCCTCAGACTCAGTTCTATATAGAGTGTCGGTGAAGTCATGGGCCTCATACTCAATACTATATGGGTTGTCGATGAAGTTATGGGCCTCATACTCATTACTATATAGGGTGTCAGTGAAGTCAGGGGTCTCAGACTCAGTTCTATATAGGGTTTCGGTGAAGTCATGGGTCTCAGACTCAGTTCTATATAGGGTGTCGTTGAAGTCACGGGCCTCATACTCAGTTCTATATACGATGTCAGTGAAGTCACGGGCCTCAGACTCAGTTCTATATAGGGTGTCGTTGAAGTCACGGGCCTCAGACTCAGTTCTATTATACTTCTATATAGGGTGTCGGTGAAGTCACGGGCCTCATACTGAGTTCTATATAGGGTGTCGGTGAAGTCATGGGTCTCAGACTCAGTTCTATATAGGGTGTCGGTGAAGTCACGGGTCTCAGACTCAGTTCTATATAGGGTGTCGGTGAAGTCACGGGCCTCAGACTCAGTTCTATATAGGGTGTCATTGAAGTCATGGGCCTCATACTCAATACTATATGGGTTGTCGATGAAGTTATGGGCCTCATACTCATTACTATATAGGGTGTCAGTGAAGTCAGGGGTCTCAGACTCAGTTCTATATAGGGTTTCGGTGAAGTCATGGGTCTCAGACTCAGTTCTATATAGGGTGTCGTTGAAGTCACGGGCCTCAGACTCAGTTCTATTATACTTCTATATAGGGTGTAGGTGAAGTCACGGGCCTCAGACTCAGTTCTATATAGGGTGTCGGTGATGTCACGGGCCTCAGTCTCAGTTCTATATAGGGTATCGGTGAAGTCACGGGCCTTAGACTCAGTTCTATATAAGGTGTCGGTGAAGTACGTCACGGGCCTCAGACTCAGTTCTATATAGGGTGGCATTGAAGTCACGGGCCTTAGACTCAGTTCTATATAGGGTGTCGGTGAAGTCATGGGCCTCAGACTCAGTTCTATATAAGGTGTCGGTGAAGTCATGGGTCTCAGACTCAGTTCTATATAGGGTTTCGGTGAAGTCATGGGTCTCAGACTCAGTTCTATATAGGGTGTCAGTGAAGTCACGGGTCTCAGACTCAGTTCTATATAGGGTTTCGGTGAAGTCATGGGTCTCAGACTCAGTTCTATATAGGGTGTCGTTGAAGTCACAGGCCTCAGACTCAGTTCTATTATACTTCTATATAGGGTGTCGGTGAAGTCACGGGCCTCATACTCAGTTCTATATAGGGTGTCGGTGAAGTCATGGGTCTCAGACTCAGTTCTATATAGGGTGTCGGTGAAGTCACGGGTCTCAGACTCAGTTCTATATAGGGTGTCGGTGAAGTCACGGGCCTCAGACTCAGTTCTATATAGGGTGTCATTGAAGTCATGGGCCTCATACTCAATACTATATGGGTTGTCGATGAAGTTATGGGCCTCATACTCATTACTATATAGGGTGTCAGTGAAGTCAGGGGTCTCAGACTCAGTTCTATATAGGGTTTCGGTGAAGTCATGGGTCTCAGACTCAGTTCTATATAGGGTGTCGTTGAAGTCACGGGCCTCAGACTCAGTTCTATTATACTTCTATATAGGGTGTAGGTGAAGTCACGGGCCTCAGACTCAGTTCTATATAGGGTGTCGGTGATGTCACGGGCCTCAGTCTCAGTTCTATATAGGGTATCGGTGAAGTCACGGGCCTTAGACTCAGTTCTATATAAGGTGTCGGTGAAGTACGTCACGGGCCTCAGACTCAGTTCTATATAGGGTGGCATTGAAGTCACGGGCCTTAGACTCAGTTCTATATAGGGTGTCGGTGAAGTCATGGGCCTCAGACTCAGTTCTATATAAGGTGTCGGTGAAGTCATGGGTCTCAGACTCAGTTCTATATAGGGTTTCGGTGAAGTCATGGGTCTCAGACTCAGTTCTATATAGGGTGTCAGTGAAGTCACGGGTCTCAGACTCAGTTCTATATAGGGTTTCGGTGAAGTCATGGGTCTCAGACTCAGTTCTATATAGGGTGTCGTTGAAGTCACAGGCCTCAGACTCAGTTCTATTATACTTCTATATAGGGTGTCGGTGAAGTCACGGGCCTCATACTCAGTTCTATATAGGGTGTCGGTGAAGTCACGGGCCTCATACTGAGTTTTATATAGGATGTTGGTGAAGTCACGGGCCTCAGACTCAATACTATATGGGGTGTCGATGAAGTCACGGCCTCAGACTCAGTACTCTATAGGGTGTCCTTGAAGTCAAGGGCCTCATACTGAGTTCTATATAGGGTGTCAGTGAAGTCACAGGCCTCAGATTCAGTACTCTATAGGGTGTCCGTGAAGTCAAGGGCCTCATACTGAGTTCTATATAGGGTGTCAGTGAAGTCACGGGCCTCAGATTCAGTACTATATGGGGTTTCGTTGAAGTCACGGGCCTCATACTCAGTTCTATTATACTTCTATATAGGGTGTCGGTGAAGTCACGGGCCTCATACTCAGTTTTATATAGGGTGTCGGTGATGTCACAGACCTCAGACTCAGTTCTATATAGGGTGTCGGTGAAGTCACGGGCCTCAGACTCAGTTCTATATAGGGTGTCGTTGAAGTCACGGGCCTCAGACTCAGTTCTATTATACTTCTATATAGGGTGTTGGTGTAGTCACGGGCCTCATACTCAGTTCTATATAGGGTGTCGGTGATGTCACGGGCCTCAGACTCAGTTCTATATAGGGTGTCGGTGAAGTCACGGGCCTTAGACACAGTTCTATATAAGGTGTCGGTGAAGTACGTCACGGGCCTCAGACTCAGTTCTATATAGGGTGTCGGTGAAGTCACGTTCCTCAGACTCAGTTCTATACATGTATAGGGAGTTGGTGAAGTTACGGGCCTCAGACTCAGTTTTATATACGGTTTCATTGAAATCACGGGCCTCTTACTCAGTACTTGATCTTGATATAACAAGATTGTCATATTTCTGGTTTGAACAATGTCATGCATACATAGGGCAATATGAACTATTTTCTTGGAAATCAGTAGGTGATTTCAAGAATTTTTTGGGTGACTCTCAACCCTTCCCCTTTTTTTCTCTGAGTTTATATTATTTAGTATACATAAAATTAGTCTGTGCTGTTTGTACATGTAATTGTACATGTATAATCATGAATGCTTGTTGTTTGTGATGCCTGAACGGGCCCTGATTTGGAAATAAGGAATCTATCTTTCTGATAGAATATGATACATCCCCCTTATCTGGATATGAATTTCTGAAAAAATAATATGTGCATTTTTTATGTCTGTTTAATTTTTTAAATAAAGGTCTCTTTTTTTAAAACTGAATTATAAATTAGTTTTTAAAGTTAAAAACTTTCCATAGAACTTTTTAAAGTCTATATTTCCTCTCCGTAATTAATTTTCTTAAAAGAAAATAATTCGTAAATTTGCAACGGGCTTAGAAAGTTTAAATAGATCTAATATGAAAATGTCATTTATTGATAACATGTAACTTACTATAAGTTAGTCTATTAAATAGATTACATGTTTCGAAGATATGGGCATATTTCATAAAATTAACATTTCCGTCCGGAAAAATACTAATCTTTTAAAACAAATCTTATACTTACCACGACACATATTGACATCCCGTGCTGATTGAAAGTACTTCAACTGTTCAATGAATTGCTGAAGGATTTCCTCTGACAAAACCCAACCTCGTATACACTTTTCGTCTCTACTTTCTAATCTAAACCCTGTTACCGATTCTGCCATTGAAGATATTTACACATAGCCTGATCACCTTCAAATGAATGATTGTCGATAGCTCGGCTGCAAGTTAAAAGCGAAAGTAAAAATGACGTATGCATTTTTTGTGTACTTGACTTCACGGGCTTCCGGTTGTTTCAGATAACGGGCTTATAGATTTTCCCGAAGCCATTCACCCATGTGCAAAATGTCAACATGTCAAAACTAAACCCCGGAAAGGATAAAGAGTTAAACATGTTAATATGGAGGAGGAGGAGGTAGTTTTAGAGTTTGAAGCAATTCTTGGCAACGGATCTTTTGGCATTGTGTACCTGATAAAGGACAAGGAGAATCGGAGGGTAATCAGCAGATCAGTTATCAGCGGGAATTTCCGATTTTGAAGATCTTTTGACTTTTCGATTGACAGTCCCCAAATGCTAATCATATCATTATCCTCTAGAAACATGATTTCTTTATATCTGATTTTATAATGTGCTCATAATTTGCCACGTCATCTGATGCCTGGGTTTGCAAGGGATTTCCCCCATTCTGTATTATCCGTGTTCCAATGTTTGCTGAAACCAATGTCTCCTTATTTCTTTCAAAACTTAGCAGAATATATAAAAAAAGCTTTAAATATCTAGTTATTATTCTCTTTATACTTTTCAAACTTTGTTTAGAAAGCTCAGAACCCTAATTTTATGCAAAATTCACAATTACAAAATGCATGTTACATCTACATGTACATGTATCTCATTGTTTATCATGTCTAGAGCAATGTATGGATCTAAAGGTTTTTGAAACAGTGTGTATGAACTTAATTTGTCCTCTTATTTTTTTTAAGAAAAAGTTATTGCATAAAATGTGGACTATGAAGTAATTAATTAAGGATATTGGGTGCAAATTAAATGAACCCGTGACAATGTTCTCTCTTTGCAGTATGCGGTGAAGAGAATCAACTTTCAGGGCCAAGAGTCTGAGCGGACACAAGCCCTGAGGGAGGCAGAACTTCTGTCCAAAGTCCGAAACGAATACATCCTGAACTACATTGAATCATTTGAAGATGATGAGTGCCTAAATATAGTAACCGAGTACTGTGATGGGGGTGACCTTGAGGTGTATTTAAGGAACAGAAATGGGAAAAGCTTGCCCGAGGTTCGAATCTGTCATTGGATTTACCAAATAGCATCAGGACTACAGGTACACTCAGTGTAGCAAAAATCATCATGTGATTGTGAGGTTCTTCTTTAAATTGAATGTGTGTTAGAGAATCATGAATTCAAATTTTTTAAGATGATTCATTTGTAAGTAGTTCAATGGATCACAATAAATTCTTTTCATCTTTTTGAAAAATTAGTGGAATCACAAGCTTTACAAGCAGGACTTGTTCTCTCTTTCAACAAATTTTTTTGCTATTACTATAGTTATATTAGACAATTGAATTCTGTGCAAAGCAGTAGTGTGAATTAAATTTTCTTGTACATAAATTTGAAGTAAACAAGCATTGTCCTTACATGCAATGGCAAAAGTAATTTTTGCATACTTAATTGTTACATTAACTTAGAATTCCTTTACTCACACATATAAATAGGACATACCGGTATCATGTTTGTAGTTGTTATAAGTTAAGTTTGGATGCGGTTTGTTTATTAGTACCTTCATGGACAGAAGATTCTCCACAGAGATCTGAAAGCCAAGAATATTTTTCTGATGAGTGACCTTTCTTTGAAGTTGGGAGACTTAGGCATTGCAAAGTAGGTATTCTAAAGGTTATTACAGGTACTCAGAATGTACATGTATATAGACAGCCTTATCTCATTACTTATTTTGTGAATTTGGTCATAATTTCTTGATATTGAGATTTAAAATAGGTTTTTCAAAGGATACTACTTAGAACTATACATGTATAGCTTAACCTCATTAGATTACTTATTTTGTAAATTTATTCAGGGTTTCACTTTTAATATAAAAATTTGTTAATCAAGATTTTTAAAAATTATACAATGACTTTTGATGATGACAAGTCATTCACAAATTTACCAAAACAAAAAAAAAATGGTTCAAAGAACATGTACATGTACCTCATAATTGTTTCTTTTTACTAAAGCATTGTTGATCAATAGGTTACTTGAACTGAATCAAAGTAAAGCAGAGAGTTTTGTCGGGACACCTGCATACATGAGTCCAGAATTATTCAAACATTTACCCTATAACCACAAAGTAAGTACTAGCTTGGTTAAGTTTTGTAAGTTATGAGTAAATCTTTTATAATTCCATAGAAATATACAACTTCTCATGAAAATTGAACAAATGAGTTACATCATCAGGAGCAGATCCAGGATAATATATCTTTTTTTCAAGGGGTGATGGCAGTGGTGGGTGTGGTTCATAGTTGAAGTATTTGGGGTGGGGTGGGATGGGGGGTTGGTTGCTCCCTATAAATCTCCTGAGCAAGAAGGCCTGAACATGTTCAGTGTTACTAAAAGTTATAGGGTTTGTTTTATTTATTTGCTACTTTGATTTTTATAGTCTGATATATGGAGCTTTGGATGTTGTTGTTATGAAATGGTAGCCTTGCAGAAAGCCTTTGGAAATGACAGCTTGTTTGCTCTCTGTAAGAAGGTCTGCAGTGATGAGGTAAGATTTTCTTGACCAGGAAGTTATGTAATGTAAATAAATTTCATGTAATAGATTGTAATGTTTTATTGCTAATCCATAAGTTCATGCATGCTATTTACTCTTGAATCAATGCAATATCAGATTTGGTAGCAGATCATACATGAAAAACATGATGATTTCAGAGACCGCCATTTCCCAGTCAGTACAGCGAGAGTCTGAAGTCCATTGTGTATTCCATGTTGGATGAAGAACCAGACTGTAGACCCAGTGCCAAAGATATTGTTAATAATGTGTACATCAAAAAGAGGCTAGCAGAAGTAAGATGATATCAATAGTTGAATCCACACTTCTCAAAAGTTATGTCCCTTGATTGCCATCTTTGGGGGAAAACCCATAGAATCCTCAGAATAACTTTTGTAGTTTTCTGGTTTGTAACTTTGTCAACTGACTGGAAAAATCTGTGCCTCTTGATTGCCCCAGGATGGGGCTACTCATACATCAAAAGAAAAAAAATAACAGTGTATTTATTGGAACACACCCAAATGTTTGGAAGCATAAAGAGGAGAAATATCATTTCTTTCCCTTTTGACCTTTTTGTTGACCCGCAAAGGGACACAACTTTTGCAAAATGTGGATTGGTCTATGGAAAAATATAAAAAGAGTTCCTTATATGACACATTGTAACCATTTTATATGTGTGTTTTTTCCTGCAGCCAATCCATAAAAGTAACTCTCCAGACAGACAGAAAAGAAGAGATCAACCAAAGGTGAAGGAGGGGCAGAGCAAAACACACTCAGCCAGGGAGAGACGGAGACAATTGGCTGCCCAGAAATATCAGACAATGTCCCACGCATGGCTAGCAATCAAACGACAGATTGACACACATCGCAGAGAAAATCAGAGAAAAAGTGTCAGTCGAACAATGGAGAAGATGAAAAAACTAAAGTTGGGCCCTGTGAAACAGCACAGAGAAGATACAGCAACGAGTACATGCAGTAATCATAGTAACAGTGTAGAGGAGGGTGAGGATGATCCAATCAGATACTTGCTGAGTGATGATGAAGACAGTACACTAATTATTGACAGAGTTCAAAGGACAAATGACAGAGTTCATCAGAATGGAGATTCAGGGTCGCATAAATCAAATATGGAGGATGATGTTTTTGATGTTAAAGAACATGTAGAGAAAATGACTGTTGATCCAGATAAGGCAGCCAAGTTAATGGTGCAAGGAATGAGGGACCAGTTAACCCCGTTCCAGTATAACGGGACACCTTTTCCTGTAAGGGGGAAGGAGGCAGGAACTAGTTCACAAGAATCTCTGTCTGATACAAAAGTAAGAGAGCAGTTTAATAATTATACTCATCCAACACAGACATGTTTAGAGTGAATGAAATACATGAAATACTAATTCATACTGAAATCTTTATTGACAGGGTACTCAGAAGACCAGAAAAAAGAAAAAGATTCTCTCCAAAATAGCAAACGGTAACTAAACATTTTATATACATTTCTGTGACTTTATACACGGAGACAATCTTTGTATGATGTTTATCTGGCACTTTCAAAAGGCAGTTCGGCAATACAAAGCACATGTCCAAATATTTTCCACATTTATTTTGCTTATAAAGTGTGTGGAAAGGTAAGGTATTCAAAACACCATAATACAAACGGGGAGGTCAAAAGGTTAAAGTATGATTTTTATTTTGACATCACAAATGTTGAGTGCCATGAAATTGAAACATCATAAGCAAAATTCAAAATTCACTCTCACATTGAACGTTGCTTTTGCAATGGCTCTAACTTACCGAAAGATAATACAGGGATTTTGAAATATAAATCACATTTGTAGACAAGACAAGAGTTAAAAATGTAAATATAAGCACTGAATTATATTTTTTTGAAAGTTGTAGTCTCATAACTGCAACGGTGTGCGCAAAAAAGTTTTCATAATGCAATAACGCATGTTACTCAATTTGTTTGCACACACCATTGCAGTTGTGAAACTACATCTTTCAAAAAATAATAATTCAATGCTTAGATAACAGCTATATGATGATGCCTATTATGAAATGAGTTTTGAACTTTAATATTAGGGAAAACAGATGTCTTATATATAAGGTTCATATATGAGAAAGTTTTTCAAGTTTTTTGTCATTTTCAGAGAATTAAGATGAGTAGTTTTTGCTTTGGAAATCATATTGTGCCAAATATGAATTAATTGTAACACTAGTTTTAGTAACATTTGTTGCATTGATATCTTAGTTATAAGGGATCTGTTAATTTTACTAGTTAATTTCCAAGAAAAAATGGTGAAAAAATTAAAGACAAATGGCCAAATACTCATAATTCTACAAAAATTTATACTATCATTGAGAAAAATTAAAGCTTGATCTTAAATTCTTATTTGCAATCTTTTTGAATCTCATCTGATATGATATGTCAGGGTATATAAAGGATAAAAGAAGAAAAAAGTCTAGCTTTATAATTGATTATTTGTTTTAATTGTATTTTTCATGGTTAAATATTCCAGAGAAGAAGAGGATAGAAAGCAGTGGTAGTGACACAGGGGTAGGGATGACATCAGGGGAGACATCCCCCATCTCACAAAATGTAAGATCCCCCACAATATTTCATCTAGACTCAGTTTACTGTAGCATACTTTTTATACCCCCACTCCGAAGGAGAGGGGGGTATACTGTTTTACCCTTGTCTGTCTGTCCGTGCGTCTGTCTGTACCACACATAACAAATTTTCGTCGCAGTTTTCTCAGCAACTACTCATGGCAGATGCTTGAAATTTTAGCACACTTTTTGTTTAGGCGTGCCATATATGGTGGGATTAATTTTTGTACAAATCTGATGTCAACTTCTTGTTTAACCGTGCGTCTGTCCGTACCATACATAACAAATTTTGGTCGCAGTTTTCTCAGCAACTACTGATTGCAGATGCTTGAAATTTTAGCACTCTCTTTGTTTAGGGATGTCATATGGAGGAATTCATTTTTGTATGAATCCGATGTCAACTTCCTGTTTATCCGTGCATCTGTCTGTACCATGCATAAATTTTCATCGCAGTTTTCTCAGCAACTACTCATGGCAGATATTTGAAATTTTAGCACACTCTTTGTTTAGGCATGCCATATGGTGGGATTAATTTTTGTATGAATCTGATGTCAACTTCCTTTTTATCTATGTGTCTGTCCATACCATACATAACAGTTTTCTCAGCAACTACTGATTGCAGATGCTTGAAATTTTAGCACACCTTTTCTTTAGGCCTGCAATATAGTGGGAATCATTTTTGTATGAATCTGATGTCAACTTCTTGTTCATCCTTGTGTCTGTCCATAACTGAACTTGTGTACATTCACCTCAGAATGTATATTCACATCAAAGTGGAGGTATTACTAGTGAGCATTGGCTCACAGACTCCTTGTTATTTAAATTTTAACAGTTTGCTCAATTTCATATAACTCAAAACCTCATCTCAAAATATTACGATCTCCGCTGTTTTGCCTGATTTATGTATTTGAAGAATTCCTTTCATTTAAATATGTACATCTATTACTTACAGGTTAAAGGTGAAAGTTCAGTCAGACTCTTTACAAGAGGTCAACAAGTGACCTTCAACAGAGGCATATCCAATAGCAGTGATGAACGAGATGAAAAGTAGGGATTTTATTTCATGTACATATATTGAATTAATATGTAAAAGTTACATGATGTCGAAAAAAGTGTTTCCTGTAAATTGTTACAGTAATAACAGACAGTGTTGGTTCCAGAACAAACTGAGGAATGAAGTGTGTTATAACCATAAGTCTGGGTTATTATACTGTTTCTATTGCAAGGCATGTTTTATACATTGTAGCACAGTGAAAGAAAAATATGTGCCATTTGAAAACAAGAAGACATCAGAGAGTATCAAGGGAATTGTAGGTAAGATATTTTTAGATATTTTTAGCCTTATACAGGTACAGTACAACATGGTTACAACAAATACGCTTATGATGAATTCATACAATTCTTGTGGTTTTATAACCTATAATAAACTTAATGGATATAATGAATTAGGTTTATAAGTCAAAATTGGTCATCCTGGCACTTCAGTCTAAGTGTATTACACTGTATGTATAAACTTTAAAAATAGACTGGAATTTTTAGCTTTGCATTTTTTGCTTGTAGTCAATTTTTTCAATTCAGAACTCTTCGAGAAAAACTGTTGTCATTTTGATTTATGAAGACTATCTTAGAAAAAATGTTTGTGATGAAATCAAAATATGACTACAGTAAATTACAGTTAAACCTCGTTATGTTGAACTCAAATGGGATTGAACTTCAACATATCTGAGAATTCAAGATAAGGAGGTTAAAAAACATAAAGAAAAAGTGTTTAGGATTGCCAAATCACTTTGACATTTCCCTGGTATTTGAGATGTCAGTGTTTGAGAAAAAAAAGTTCAATTGTAGTTAGTAAATAAGAAATATACACACAGAGAATTTGCAATCTATGTATTCAGTACATTCGGTATGCTCAGTGTAGATTTAAAGCAACACATGTTTAAGTAAACACGTTTAAAAAGTGGTACTGTAAAATAAAGCAAAGAACAAGGTTCACTTAGGGCGTTTTTTGGCCCTGTGAATTTCAGAAAAACTGAAACTGCTTGGTTTTAGTTGACAATGCATTAAATATCATTTAGATCTTTGGTGACTGCGTATCTACCAAAAATGATGTAATTTTCTGACTAGTCAATGCATTATGACGTCATGAAATGCGTCATTTTCCTCATATCCTGAAAAATTCTACAAAAACAGCCAATTTTTAAAGCTATTTTTTGATACTTAATATAGAGCGCAATCTCTGATCTAAAATGTGCAACTATTAAATGATAGAACTATTTCTGAGGATTACAAAACATGTTTTATTTTTTAGATCAGAGGATGCGCTCATATTATTTCTCTTCTGTGAGAGTACTCAAATAAACTTGTTTTCCCTAAAATTCAAGAACATTGCAATTCCATGAAGCCTATTTTCTAAGGCCTTGGCTTTAAGGAGAAATTTTTTAATAGGAAATCAAAGCACTAAGTCTCTACTTTATCTTGATGTTTAAAATGGAACATAAAGTGTTAGTCAATAAATCGGTATATCTACAGGGCCATTATATGCATAAAGTGAACCTAGCTCTTTTAAGTTCTTGTTTATTATGTTTTTTTACCATAAGTGTATAGGAACATAATTAAAGGCCAAATTTTGTCTGTCAACCGATATAAAAAATCAGAAGTAAGTTATATTTGTGATGGATTGTAATGACTGAATCCAAACTTGGCCTGATTTTGATTTTATCATACACAAAGCAAGGTGACACTAAGGAGAATAATGAGAGAAAATTCTCAGATTTTCTCATTTCTGAGGAGTTTTATTTCTTTTTTTTTTTTCTCTTTTTTTACAGAAAATGTTTTTAACATTAATAGTAAGTAAAATATTTAGATTCAGCAGATGGGCTAGCCTCAGTGTTTTGTGTTAAATCTTAAAAGCAAAATTAAATACTTAAATTGAAAAATAGTGCCTATCAAAAATTAAAAAAATTAAGAAGAAAAACAGAATTTTATTTGAATTTTATACTTGATTAAGAATCCCTTAATCAAAATTGAAACTTCCATACATATTATTCATAAGTATCTGATCTTGAGTTTTTGCTTTTTCCTGAGATTTGTCCAAAAAGAGACTAAAAAAATGGTCCTTAAATAACAATATAGAAGTTAAGACATGGTTAAATGAATGTAAAGCACCATTATCCTGAGAGAACTTCAGAGAAGTACCTCTCAAAAAGCTACCGTACGTAAGCAAGGACTAAGGATGAATTCTGCTGATATAACTTGCTTTAAACTTTTCAGTTCAATGATCTGGAACTAAACTTTTCTTAATATTTTTTAAGAGACTGTCAAAAGTACAAAGAATCAAAATACAAATAGATAATTGGGGGTTAGTGGGCCAAAAAATTATGCATTTTTTGAGGGATAAAACCAGAGGAGTTCCATTAAAATGGCTGATACCTCAGCATAATCAGCAGAATACATCCTTAAGCAAAGAAAATGTGTTAAAAAAATGTAGAAACATTTCTCCAGACTGTAAATTTGTCTGAATCATTGTTCTTTTTTTTTTTTACCAGACCATAACAACTTGGTTACCTTATGTAAGTTTTAATTCGGGCTGTTTTATCTTACTGCTGTGTTTCTATACATGTACTGTCAAACTAAGCACAAATCCACAGAACTTGATTTCAAGTGTATATACACTGTAAATAAAAGGTACACATCCAATCCTTTTCCTGCATGCCAAGAATCAAGAGATTTTCATTTCAGACATATACCTATCTATTAGTTTTAATCCATCTGAATGACTGGAGTTTATCTATTGCTTTCTGTTCTGATCCATCACTCAGTGCCATATGTTTCTCAAAACTTTTCACCATTTTCAGCTTTTTCTATATGATGTACACTGAAGCTGAAGCAATATCAACCAGATTTATAAAATATACATTATACTTATTGGTCAAAGAGAAGAAAAAGTTGTGTGACTCATCCAGCTAGAAACATGCAAAATTTTAAAAGTCTTCTTTTCTTTAAATATTTAGCAGGAGCAACAAGCCCCCTCTCTACCATGACTGTGAGCTTAACACAGCTATTTAGTTGAAAATTGATATCAGTGCTTCATTATCACAGGCAGACTGTTGCCTACAAAAAAGTGAAATTCAGAAAGCCTGGGTACAGATTCGTGCATCATGGTTGGACTAAATTATTCATGTATTGCAAATTTTATTTTATCTTTGAAAATCCTTTTTACTACTGAACTCTTTCTGTCAAATCATTTACATAATTACAATGACAATTATAACCTTTATAGATTATTATTTCTGTTACTGCGCTGCATTCAGGGTTCAAGCCCAAGGTTAAAATTGAAATAATAATATAGAAAAAATGATATATCAAAAACACAGTTCATCTACACGTTCATTTGTACGTTTTTACCTTCAGAAGTTTGCCAACCCTTATGATGTAAAAATGTACTTATATAATAATCAAATTATACACATAACGTGATCATTTTAATAAGGCTAAAATCCCTAGAAAAAAAGATTCATTTGGGTATACATGTAATTTATATATGATAGCAAAACACAAGAAACATTTGTATAACATATGTCAGAGCTAATGGCTTAGAGACTATACTGAAATTTTCATGATACTTAGGTGACCTTCAAGGTCCATGGACCTGTAATCTTTTAATACACTGTACCAGTATTTTATCCTCTGCTGTACCTATATGCTCATTTCACCTGCATTTACAGTTGCAATGTATTTGTGTTTACTTATTTTGCCCCTTCTCCTCCACCCCCCCCCCCCCCTTTGCACAAAATGTATGACTTAATTATTGCAGAGAATTGTAAATACCATAATAATCCTATTAAACACCCTGGGCACTTGGAAAATCAGAAAAAGGGGACAATTATTGGATGTGTCTGTTGTAAAATGTACAAGTATGCTGTGTTGCATTCATGTTCACTATTAAAATAAATAGAAAAATATTTTTATAACAGCGTCCTTATCTAAAATGCATTTTAAAAGTAGTAGATGACTTCTAAATCTTAAAAAATAAAATGTGAAAGCAAATTACAACAATCAATTATGGGTTGTGGGGTTGTTTAATATTACATGATGGAGTCTTTAATCTTTTGCTAATAATTTCCAGAATTATTAACCTAGCCGTTAAGATATTTCTACTTTTATATGTATATATGCTAAATACAGCAAGCAACTGAAGCAAGGAAACTTTCCATTCAGAACATACCTGTACTGTTTACAGCTGATGTACAAAGGATATGTTTGCCAATACAGACAGATATTTACATGATTTAATTTTTTTTTTTATTTTCAGCCATGATAGGAAGCATGGAAACTGAATCAGTTGTACTAGAAATCAGCAAAGTTCAAAGGTAAAAATGATCTCAGAGTACCACAAAACAAACTTTCATGACTTGATTTGAGTTAAAATTACAGGCTCCCCTAGTGTATTTCCCCAATACATGTAATTATGTATTTTATCCCTATTTTCAGTTACAAATTCCTTCATAGTTGTTGCATCACTTGTAATACGTGATTCCTCAAATATTTAGAATAGAAAAATTTAAAATAATTTCTTATTCATTTTCTTCTTTTCTGTGTTGGCTTTTCTTGTTCATTCAAAGATCTCAAAATATTTTTAAAAGTCAAATTGTGCTTAATGCAAAGTGTTTACATGTACAAGAAACATGTACAATAACGTCAATGTAAGTTTATATTTCATTTTATTACAGTGAGGTGGCTAATGCTATAGGCAGAGACAATCTTCAGAAATGTTATGATGTCATGGCCAATATGCAGGATGAAGAACTAGTCAAGGTAACATATTCTCTCTGGAAGTCATATAACCAAATATTTAAGACAGATTCCTAGCATAAAAGTCTTCACTTGTAAAGCAGTTCAGTATATAATGTACACTTACATGCTAGGTTTGTGAAAAATCCATACCCTTAGGAAATACAAGTGTTTCATTATTGAATTGACAGGTTGAGAAAAGGTAGTATTTATAAAAACCTGTCTTGAAATTTAAGGTTGACATACATGTACATACAGACTACAATTTAACAAATAGCTCTAACCATGCATCAGAGTTGTCCCTAAGAATTAAAATAGCAGGGGACTTTAAAAAAGTAGAGGGGGGTCTGGGGTTCCTCCCCTAACAAGGGGGGAATACATGTACCAGAACAACTGGGGGATTATTCATTATAGGCAGGGAAATTCCCTGGTCTTTGGGTCTTAGGGACAACCCTGATGCATGTACAAATTAGGCAAGTTCTTGATTTACATATATTGATATTTTAAAGGTAGAGTTTTTTTTTTTTTTTTTTTTTTTTTTTTTACATATTTAGGCACTATTGACCGAAATTCTTGGACCTACCATGTATAAAAAATACAGGGAACAACTTTCCTACCTCCGTATGCTAGAGATCAGATCTCAAGCCACAAGTTAGAGGTGATGTCATCAAGCTCAGATTACAGAGGGTCTCCTTATCTTATCTGTATTTATCAGTTTATGCAAAAACGATTTTTTATTTAATGAATATTTCCATAAGTGAGTTATTTTTTTAAAAGTGTTTATAACTATATATATATTTTTTATCAACATTCTTCAAATTGGAAACATTTACTGTCTTAATATTTTTGTATAAAATTTTCTTAAATATGCTCACTTTGTTACAATATTCTGAGAGCATTCGCTGACATTGACAATCATTTTAATACATGTACACGTGTAATCCATTACCAGATTTACTTTTGACAATTTGTGTAAATGTGTAACTCAAAAATTCTATTAGATTATGAATGATCTTGAACTGCCGGTTTGTAGAAATAATACTTCATGGTTGTATGATCAACTTTCAATAAATAGTAAGGTAATGAAAGAATACTATATCTATCTAGCTAATCCATATTGTTTATTGGCTATAGACCTTCTTATTTTACAAGATACAGTAATGTAAACTTACTTATTTTAGCCTTCATCATATTGTAGTGTCCTTCATGCTACTATACATGATTAAAACAAATACACATCTTTCTAAAAACTGTAGTATGCTAATTTATATTTGGCTAACCAGTTGAAGAGGACAATTGCATTATTTGTGTGCTAATTTATGTATATTTACAGTATATCCAAAACTAAGTTTGTTTCACTTTTATAACTGCTGTACGGTCATGTAAAATGGTGCACTTACATGAAGCATAAGAATTGTTATACTGATGGACCAATTATCTTAACTTTGTATCTGTTAGATGTTTACAGATCATGGGTAAAATATCAGCAGGACTTATAAATTGCATGTACATGTATTATAAAATTAATACACATTTGATTACCTGTTTTCTTTTATGAAATGTGTATAATCATGTATATAAACATTAATATTTTCATTTTTAAATTTAAATTCTGTTCTTTTTTTAAACATGAATTTTCAAGCTTATGATTTTCAATTTTTTTCTCCAGATTTTTTATTGTCTTTTGTGAAATGTTTAAATCATTTTTCATGCAGCATATGCTTCTGATGTACACAGTCTGTGCCAAAAATAACATTTCTGGCGGTTATGTAGATGGTCTTTATTATAATGGACATGTGATTAACTTTATATACTATCAAAGTAAAAGTCTTTTTATGAATTTTTTGTTAATTTTTATTCCTATGCCATGCAACTCTTGGTCATAAATAAGTGTTACTATAGTTACATGTAATTAAAAGATTAAGAGGATCTATAACAAATTATTACCAACTCTACCTTCCCAAAATTGTACCCCATTCCCTTAAATCGTAATCAAAAGTACCTTGATAATGAAGTATGCTTGCAAACATGTCCTTTCATTCAGTATCAATAATACTTTGTCTCTCTCGTGAATTCCATATCCAACCACAAAATGTTAAATATCCTCAAGACACCTTATTGTGAGGGCACCTAGAATCTTTTACCAAACTGTTTTGTCTGTTATAGTCTGCTGCAAGTTAGCAATAAGCCATAAGAATACCGTATTGTTCACAATGTTTGCTTCTAGTTGCAAATTTGCTTCAAACATTTGATTTATTGATTGATTAGACCTATGTGTTTTTTTACGTCCCATTCGATATTTTTTCACTCACAGAGACTTTACCATATACCGATGAAGGGCTTCAAATTTAGACCTTTACCCGGCACTCAGGGCCATTGAGCAGTGAGGGTTCTTTATCGTATCGTTACCGTGACACGGGGCCTCGGTTTGTAAGGTCTCATTCGAAAGACCCACAACTTTCATCAAAATGCCGAGCGCTTGGTGAAGAAACAGTTGCTACCTATTTTTATCGACTTAGTCGCGGCCGTGATACGAACACACGACCTTCCGATCACGGAGCGAGCGTTCTACCGCTGCATACATTTGCAGCAATTGCTGTGGGATTGATGCCAATAAGTAGGAACTCAGCATATTTTACTTTGCAGGAATAACGAATTGAATGTTTGTAGGAAGTTCGAAAGAAAAGTAATTAAAGGTTAAATCAGCCATTGAAATCAGATTGTACTCAGGTCAATACAGAAAATTAATGCTTGATTGTTGTTGTAGATTTATTGGTGAAAAAGTAATCCTTCTTTAAAATGACTGGATATTTAGAATCTACATGTATTAATGAGTTTCAATACTGAATTTGACTTCAAATTTTGATGTTTACTTATAGTTTCCAAATCAGTTGATGGCCTTTGCATGTACATGACACTGTATGTTTTAAGGCCCTTTCACAATTGGCGCACGAGCAGAAGCGACAAAATATTCGTGCGACAGAAAATTTTTGATTTGGATCGTAAACTGTTGCCAAAAAATCGCATATAAAAAAGTATTCGTACGAAATTCGCACGATCTAAAGCGACCGTTGTGCATTAAATCTTGCGATATATCTTGCGTCTATATGCGACTGTTGTACAATGAAAGCGAGTGTTGTAAGATAATGCGAAAGGATCGTGCGAGCGATCAGGTAATTGGACGATTGAACTTGCGCCAATGCGATTGGAGGTGCGGAGCTCGTGCGCTCATGCGTTCCATGGTACGGATGCTCGTGCGAGTCAGAGGGGGTATATAAACTGGCCGTTTCCGAAGCTCTTCAGTTGATATAGTTGAATGCGAGAGAAGATGCTTATACACTTTATATATACTAGTGGCAAAGCATGACAAATTGAGGCTGAAAAGTTATGCAATGATAGTAAAACGTTGCAAGATTACATGAGACACGTTGAGCAACAGTCTCATATTCGTAAAACACACGCATAGACATCTGCGATTCATCTTAAGACCTTTAAAAATCGTGCATCACTCTTGCGAGTACACAAAACGTTGTAAGACGTTCGTACTAATGTTCGTGCGCTGCATTGCGATAATTTGGATCGCATTCAGTGTGCATGTCCACTATTTTGAGGAGACTTGATGCGACCACTAAAACGCATGCAGCGAATGCGAGACATCGTGCAACGTATGCGAGAGCTCGTGCGAAGCTAAAACATTCCGATCGCAAAGTGTTGTAAAGTGCTCGTGCGCCAATTGTGAAAGGGCCTTTACATAAACAGGTAACGCAATGTTGTCATGTGTGAAAGGTTCCATTATCTGATATAAAACACGTCAGAAATAAGATTTCATATTGCAATGTAATTGATATGTGAAAACTGTTCAGGAACAACGAATCAAAAGATTCATCAGAAAGTTATCCCCTACAGCTATGATTGCAGTGGATCTAGACCAATGTTTTGCAAGACGATTTTTGGCAAAGTTTAGTATACCTAGAAAGCATATCTCTAATTATATAAATTAAGCACGTTGTTGTAAAAGGGTGCAATCCTAACTCTTAAAAAGTGCAGGTTTTCATACTTACTCAGATGTATTGCATCAAATTGTCACAATAAAGGAAAGGGAACTTATTTAACAGCCAACAAGAAACTTGCGTGCATAGAAAATTTTTATCATATTTTAATTATTTTTATTAAAGTGATGAATTAAAATTCAAACATTTTTATATGGTACACGTGAATTGGATTTGAAGGGAGAAAGAGGTCAAGAAAGGAGAGATAAAATTGAGGGGGGGGTTAAGGGGGAGGGGGCTGAATGGTACCATCTTTGCACCCTCGGAGTATACAAGTAGATTCATGATGTTATTCCAAAATCAACAGTGTTTAAAAGAATATAGAAGTACAAGGAAAAGCTTTAAAATCCTTCAAGAAAACAGCCAGATTGCACCTTTTCATATTCTTATGTAACTCCCTACCCCTGTTCAGGTCATGCAAATACCTCGTCTACCCCAATCTATATAGCTAGGATAGGGTTATAAGTGTTTTTAAAGTTCTTAGATATAAAGATCTTTGAAATATTTATTTAAGCTCAGGGTGTCTTAAAGATTCCTGCAATACTGCGAGCATGTTACGATCCTGCTAATTTGCTACAAGCTTGCCACAATTGCTGCAATATTATGTAGAAAATATAAATAACAAAATTAATATAAATCAAAGCAAGACCGAAGGGATAGACCGTGGCCATAAGCAATCAGTCTTACGACTTCACTATACAGGCTTTTATAAACGAACAACTGCAGAGCTAGAACTAGTACTTATACAGTCATATCCCTAACTATAGTGTATATTCCAAAAATACAATATTGAACATTGGTATAATTTAGATCCATATCTATTACTATAGTATTCTACAAAATAACAAATAACCAGTGTTTCAAATCAGAATCACATCCACATAATATATATTGTTCATTCAAATCTGTTGATTTGCTTGGTATCCGATTAAAATTACTGTTTTAATAACTTTTGGCTTCATGTATGAAAGTTTTACATTGGATATTCATTTGCCATGGATTTAGAGCAATGCAGCATATGTGAGCTTTTTCCTAACAGAAAATGACTACAGATAATAAGTAGTTCTTCAATACGATGTTACTTTGGTATCTTACAATGAAACTGAATTACTTTTAAACTTTAATTAAAAACTGTATGAGAGTTAGATGATTAGTATCTCTCACAGTCCATATCAATCATGATATCTTTGGGAAAAGTAATTGGATATACAAGTAAATTCTCATTACTTTGATGTACTATTAAAAAAACTTAATAATATAATTTTCAATAGCAAAACTAGGATTTTGATCTCCCACAGTGAACAGTATTTATTTCAGTTAAAAATAGTGAACTTGGTTAACTATTGTAAACTAAAATTCACTGTGATAAACCATAGTTTACTATGTAAACTTAAGTTTGCTATTGTTAAACTACATTTTACTGTACGTAGTATTCATGGCTTATAGACTTTGTGCATTGCAGCACCATGACAGTCATTTCTGTCACTTGTTTGTTTGATGTAAATGATGTCCTGTTTTCTGTGGACCGTAACTGTGTTATGAAGAGATACATGTAAACATAAATTGTGAATTTTTCTAAGATTTACATGTGTCATAGTGTCTACTGTTTTTTTTATTGTCTTCAGCGAAAAGTCATGAAAAAGCTTTCAGTATGTAACTATGCAAAAAACTTGGAAATCATCAATTGTTCAATTAAATTCATTTTCTTACAGAATGTTTCCTTAGATATCTTATAAGGATAGTTTTTTTTTTTTCATTTTTAGGATTTTCGAATATTTATTTCCGCCTCAGAGTTCACGCTCAGGTTGGTTTTTGTCATTTTTATATTCTTATTTTCACCTCAGTCTGCAAATTCTTTGACTTCTATTGATTTTAAGTTTATGTTGTAATCGTTCTCTGGTTGTGGCTGAGTGGAATTGTAAAGTTCACATCGGAGTAAAATTCCAAAGCACCATGCTCTCTTTGTATGATTTTTTTAAATATTTATTTAATTCTTTCTGTGCCCGTGTTCAGACAAGCTCTGCTGCAGTGTGATTTTCTTCGCATTATTTTTCAAAACCTATATGCAAAGGATCTTTATCTTCTTGAAGGAATGCCAGAGTTGTACAGTTAATTGCTCTTAGAGTATATTTTCAGTCCATCCTCTAAATTTTTCAACGTGATCACCAAAGTCTGTAAAGCAGCAAATCTTTCTCCAAGCAATCTGCTGACTTTTTCCTGAAATGAATTTTAAAAAATGATAATTAAATCAAATTAAAAAAATGGGGGTTTTTCATATAATGAGAGGAATATTATGGAAAAACTAAAGGATTAAATATCTTACTCTTTATGTCCTTACACGTACATTTCCTACGTTTTACCCTGATTATTGTAATTTGTAGTCAAAATCGTAGTCTTGCTTTCTATAAATTCAGCATAATTAAATTATACTTTCCAGATTTGTTAGGAAATGAAAAAGGTGAAGATAACAAACAATGTTATTTCTTTTTAAAAAAAAAACCTTCAGAAAATACGAATCTATGAACATATTCATATGTTTTACAGGCTGTTTTACGGATAGGTATTAGACCTTCTACTAGAAACCGTTTTTAAACCTTTCTTTAGTCATCTTTATTGACGTACAATTATGATGGAATGATTCAACTGTTGTGGGTCGTACGACGTCGTCTGTTGTCTACATAGGCGCTAGCATATTGCAACATATGTTTCATAATGAATGTACAGATATTGAAACTTGACAAATCGCATGTAAATTATTTTTTAAAGTTGCTTGGTCCAGTTGAGATGCACATTTTCATGTACAATAAATGTACATGTGTCCATAGAATATGTATAAAAATAATTAATGCGACGGATTTCTTGCTTTATATCCTACCTTGGGAACATTTGAACTGTTATTGAATTTCTGACATAGGAAATCTGTTGATAAGAGGGTGTCATAATAAGAACAGATTTCAAAAGTATATGTAAAAAACATCTGACACTTACTTCAAAGTCCACACTATAAGACTCCTCCATTATTAATTGTCCAAGTTTGCGGTAGATATCTCGGCCTCCAGCATTGCGTAATGTGTCGCATAGTTTTCTACAACAAAATCAAAACTAAAATATCTTATCCCTGCAAGTATTGTTGTCAATATAACAAGAATGAATGATGGTTTTGTGTATATACAACATTTTTCAATGGTTTTAATATCATAACATAAAAAAAAGTATTTGGTCTCCTTCCTTTACGGCCTTATACTTAACCTGAAAATGAAAGAAGAAAAAAATAGGAAGAAAATGTAGAAAGAAAATATTTTCATACTTGTCAAATCTATGCACCGATTTTTCATACAGAGAGGTGATATCATCTTGAGAGTCTACAAAAATACACATGTGCGAGTTTGAATTTGTATGGTTTTTCTTAATTGTCATTGATGTTATGGACATTAAATTCAAGTCTTGGTAAAGTTATTATTGACATCTTTTTTCGAAAGTTAATTGATATTATAATAAGAGACGTTTACCACTCCGACTAGATGATGTACTCTTAAACGAATCTGCAAAAAAAAAAAAAAAAAAAAAAAAATTACATAAAACAAAAAAACAAAAAAATAAACAAAAAACAAGAGACTCAAGGGCCTTAACGGTCACCTGAGTATAATACAACAATTTAGAGGTTCCATAGAATATAAAGTAAACTGATAGATGAAGCTTTGTTGCCCAAAAGCAAGAGAAACAGAGTAATCAGGATCAAATAATTAGTATTCAGTAACAACTCTTAAATAAACTTCTAATCTGTACCCCATTTATCACTATCACCATGTAGATTATTATCAAACTATTAGTGCTGTACTATATTTTAGCGCTGTCTTATTGGCCTCTCTTAGTTTTGAAGAATATTTAGAAGATAAGTTATTTTTGACTCATTTTTATTTATATCTTATTTACAATTCTACCTGATCATTAAAACTATGAAAGTACTTTTTGTAGTATACAATAAAAATCTTGCATAATTGTCCTATTCTATTAACCCTTCAAACACATTAATTACAGTGATTAATTATCAAAATTGAATGGCAATACTCTCTCAGTATAATACAAATTAATAGAGCCCTGGCCAGGACCAGAACACTTGACCAAATGATCCAGATGTTCAAAAATCTGGTAAAAATACCCTTGTTTAATAAAACTTTTACTCTGTTTTCCTCCGATATGGGTAGAGCGCTCGCTCCGTGATCAGAAGGTCGCGTGTTTGAATCACGGCCGCGACTGAACTAAGTCGATAAAAAAATAGGTAGCAACTTTCCTTCGCCAAGCCCTCGGCACTTTGAAGTGAAGGTTGCGGGTCCTTCGGATGGGACCTTGAAACCCGAGGCCCCTTGTCACGGTAGGCGTTGGCACGATAAAGAACCCTCACTGCTCAATGGCCCTGGGTGCCGAGTAAAGGTTTAAATTTGAAACCTTTCAACGGTATATGGTGACGTCTCTATATGAGTGAAAAATTCTCGAAAGGGACGTAAAACAACATATAATCAATCAATCAATCCTTTGATATGCCCAGGAGTAGATAAGACTTTCAAATAAATAATGCATTTTCGCTACAAAATTCAACACAGCCATACTCTTACACCAGAACCCATGGCCCAGGTGTCATGAAATTCATAAATTTGGAGGCGGTACCTTTATTATCATAGCTATACACTTAGTTGAAGATTTTCATAGAATTAACACGTTCACTATATTAACAATAGAGCTCCCCTTCCCCGGTTAACACCAGAAGACATGGGGATCACAAGTTTTAAAAAAGAAAATGTAAGAAACACCCTTGCTCAATATAACTTTGCTTTTTAACCAGGAGCAGAAAAGAAATTATGCTTTTCACTATTCAATTAATAGAGCACTCCCTTTACCAGAACCCCGACACTAGGGTCATGAATTTCACAATTTTGGAAGAGGCATCCTTGCTTATCATAACCATGCACTTAGTTTGTTTTAAAAATGCCCAGGAGCAGAGAAGGTTTTAAAAAAAAAATCACATTTTTATTATATAATCAATAGAGCCTCGCCGTAACGTCAGAGCCCCTGACTCAGGGACCATAAAATTGATAATTTTGGAAAAGGCACCCTTGTTCATCATATATATGTACATGTATTTAGTTAGTTTGATTTATTTCCAGGAGCAGAGAAGAAATAATGCACTTTCAGTCTGTGATCCATATAGCAGCACCCTAGCACCTGCAGAACCCCTGGGCCATGAATTTCACAATGTTGGGAGAAGGCTCAATGCTTGTTACAATTATGCCAACAGTTTGACCGCTAGATGTCCCAGAGTAAAGAAAAAGATTTTTAAAGATTGCATTAGTATTCGTGTTTTTCACACAACCCCTCCGGCCCGGGGGGGGGGGTGTCAGGGTACATGAAATTCATAATTTTTGTTCCCCATTACCCATAGTTGTTATAAGCCAAAATTGGTTGAAATTGAAATTGTTTCAGCGGTTTCAGAGAAGATGCTGAAAATATTCAAATGTTTACGCACGACGCACGATGAACGACGACAGACAAAATCGGATAGCAGAGGTCATTTTAGTGACTCAATAAAACAGACAATACCAGTTATATGCCGATAGTCAGCGACTCATTACTGAGTAATTTATTAAAACCATTAATTGCTTTCAAGATTGGACAACATAAATAAATCAAACCTTCGAGGGAAGAAGATGACATTCTGTTAAGTTGATCAAAGGAATCCGTGTTTTGCTCTCCACCTTTTGGCGATATTGACGCTGATGGCATAGGACCTAATAATCATACTTTAAACTTAGTGTTGAGAAAGTTATTGGTTTAAAAGTTGTTCTGTTAACAAACTGACATGGTGATAACAATAGGGCTCCTGTTCATTAGAAATGTGGTTCTATAATTACAGTTCAAAGCAAAAGACTACGCCGCAATTTTCAACTTGTTTTTATCTACAACCAACAAATTAAATATTTAGAATTTTAAAAAAAGTCGGAGAGCGCAAAGGAATGAAACAAAAATCCATTCTAATTTTGATCGAATCAAGTATATTTGAAGGTTCAAAAAAGTTATTCCTCATTCAAACTGCAAATGTTGCAACAAACGACAGACAACTATCTTCCATAGAAACCATTTCTCCTTTCTGTTTATCATCAAAAGAATCTGTATTTTGTGATGGTTCTTTGCCTTCTTCTTACAAACAACAAAAGGGTTAAAAAATCAATATATATTGTAAAAGCGTCTAGCTGCGCAAAGGTATCTATAATTTTAATAATATTACTAATCAGGAGAAAATAAAGAAAATTAAACAGAAGTATTAGTAAAAGGAATCTTATCTATTATCTAGACCTATCATTTGGTAAGTTAAATCGTACTATTATACTATTCAACATTTAAAAAACAAGCAACCAAACTATTTTTTGAAAGTATTATTCTTTTGTGAATTTGTATCCTGCAATAAGAAATGCATATTTTACTGAAGACGATTTGCAAATTACTTTAAAAAAAATACCAGTTTGCACAACTAAATGACTAAAAGCAAGTCATGTTAAAAATATAATTGCATTTAATGAATATGGACTGTTATATCAAAAATACTGAAGGACTTAATATATAGGTAGCAAAATGAATGCATACTGAATGCTTAAACATGCATATGACAGTAATTTTTTATACTTTGGTATTTTGTTGATATATTATATCTTTAACTACTCAAAAACTAAAACCCTGGAATTGCTGTAGAATGAGAAAAGACTTGTTACGAGTCTGTTCATGAAAGGAAAAGACTAAGCAACAATTTTCGACTTTTTTATCTACAACAAACTCTCTATTTACAATTTTACTCTCTCTATCTTTCTCTCTCTCTATTATATATATATATATATATATAGAGAGAGAGAGAGAGAGAGAGAGAGCAAAGAAATAAGAACAAATCCGATATAATTTTGATGAATTCAAGTATTTGGAAGGCTCGAAACAGTCATTTCTAATTCAAACTGCAAATGATGCAACAAACGACAGACAACTACCTTCAATAGAAATCATTTCTCCTTTCTGTTTTTCATCAAAAGAATCTGTATTTTGTGTTGGTTCTTTGCCTTCTCCTTGCGAACAACAAAAGGGTTTTAAAAAATCAATACACATGTAATGCAAAAGCATCTAGCTGCACAAAGGTATCTATGATTTTAATAATATTGCCAATTAGGAGAAAATAAGGAAAATTAAACAGAAGTATAAGTGAAGAGAATCTTATCAAATATGTAGACTGAGTATTTTGTAAGTTAAATAGTAAGACTATAATACTATTCAAGATTTTAATTAAGAAACAAGACCAAGCTATTTTTTGAAAGTGTTATTTTTTTGTGAATTTGTATCCTGCAATAAGAAATGCATATATTACTGAAGACGATTTGCAAATTACTGAAAAAATATCAATTTGTATAAAACTAAATGATTAAAAGCAAGTCATGTTAAAATATAATTGCATATCATGAATATAGACTGTAATATCAAAAATATAAAAGGACTTAACGTATTGGAAGCAAAATGAATGAATACGAGTACTGAATGCTTAAACATGCATGTGACACTTTTTTTTTTATACTTTGGTATTTTGTTGATATACCGGTATTAGAACTTTGACTACTCAAAAACTAATACCCTGGTATTGTACAGAATGAGAAAACACTTGTTATGAATCTGTTTATGAAAGGGAAAGACTATGCTACAATTTTCAACTTGTTTTTATCTACAACCAACAAATTAAATATTTAGAATTCAATATATATAATATATATTTAGAGAGAGAGAGAAGAAAAAAAATCCAATATTACTTGATTGAAATCAAGCATTTGGAGGGCTCGAAACAGTCATTTCTAATTCAAATTGCAAATGATGCAACAAAGGACAGACAACTACCTTCAATAGAAACCATTTCTCCTTTCTGTTTTTCATCAAAAGAATCTGTATTTTGTGATGGTTCTTTGCCTTCTCCTTGCAAACAACAAAAGGGTTAAAAACATCAATATATATTGTACAAGCGTCTAGCTGCACAAAGGTATAAATAATTTTGCTAATTGGTAGAAAATTAAGAAAATAAAACAGAACCGTAAGACTATTAATATTAGACTATTCAAAATATTAATTAAGAAACACACAATCTAGCTATTTTTGAAAGTGTTATTCTTATGTGAATTTGCACCCTGCAATAGAAAATGTATAATTGAAGAAGATTTGCAAATTACTGAAGAAGATATCAAATTGTATAAAATAAAAGACTAAAAGCGAGTCATGTTGAAAATATAATTTCATATAATGAATATAAACTGTATTTAAATAAAAAATATTGAAGGACTTAATATATTGGAAGCAAATGAATGCAAATGCTTAAACATGCATCTGAGAGCTATTTTTTATACCTCGCGGAATTGTTGATATATTAGAACTTTGGCTACTCAAAAACACTTTCTTTCCATCATGTCCTGGTATTGCTGTAGAATGACAAAACACTTGAGTCTCTTTATGGTGTTTGTATGGTTGTTCTATGTTCTGGCAGTGATGACGTGATACTTCATTAAACAGGAATTCAGCATCTGGTCGATCACAGGGATTCGGAGCAAGCAATCTAATTATCATTTTCTGAATGTTTTCGCAAAATCGAAGACTGTTGATATTAGGTAACTGTAAGAAATCAGACTGGAATTATACATAAAAACTCCCATCAGTAAGGAAACGCAGTAAGTATATTCTGTAAATGTATGCATATGTTTTTAATTTGTGAGTAAATGTTGATGCTGATGTTGTTGATGCGTACTCTCCGTAATTTTTAAAAAAAATTTTTATTCTTTCGCAGAAGCAAAGTTATCAACAAAAACTTTAAATGTCAAAAAGATTTTTCTTACCTTATTTCTGCTCACAGCTTCTTTCAGTTCCTGTGCAGTTTTGCCGTCAAAGGCGTAATTTGAAGTACCCATTTCATAACAGTCGCAACCGATGGCCCATATATCAATCTACAGTAATTTTATACATTTGATAATTGAAAGTTAACATGTTAATTTATTTTGTCAATAAAATACTGAGGATAAAATGAGTCATGTACCTTTTCATCATATGTACCTTTTCCACCCATCATCTCTGGAGCAATGTAATGTGGTGTCCCCACCATGACAGTGTTTGCAGCTTTGCTGCATGTATCAACTATTCTAAAAATATGAAAAGAAATATATTTCTCATTTTCAATGCAGAGCAGTTCCATGTTGTGTAACTTTAGTGATTGTTGGAATATTAGATCCTCAAAGGAGTTGTAGTGAACATTACATGAAAGTAATTTCGGTTGAATGGCGCAGATATTCTGTCGCACACATTACTATATGAATATTTGTGCTAGAATTTCTGTTTGATTAATATTACCACAATATTAGATATAAATTATTTGTAATTTACTTCGACAAGGCGGAATTTTCTACGTAGCTACATCTGCAGATAAAACAAATTAAATTCTTTCTAAATAATGTAAAACTTCTAGTATACTGAGTATGTTGTTTCTGTGACTGTCATATACTTACTTGGCTACTCCAAAGTCTGCTATTTTTATCTTGCTATCTGACGTAAGAAGAATGTTCTTTGTTTTCAAATCTCGGTGAGTGATTTTTTTAGAATGAAGGTACTGAAAATGATGTGCCAGAAAGCTTACTTTGCGAGTTCTATTTGGTCTTGGCGTTACATTTACTTAATAATAAAATTAATTCATGTTTCTTCTCAAAAATAATATACAAGCACAGAAAGACTGCATACCTTTACTCCATTTAATATCTGTTCGAGGTATATTTTAAACTCGTACTCCTCCAGACCAGTTTTCCGTTCACAAAGGTAATGGAATAAGGAACCTCCTGAGCAATACTCCGTTACTATATATAGAACACTGCCTACACTGAAAGATGCTATATATCGTACTATATTTTCATGCTTTTGGTCACATAACAGTTTTAAAATGTCTTCTTCTCTCCTAAGTTGTTCCAGCTCTTTGGAATTTGCCTTGATGAAGTCTATTTTCTTTATAGCAAAAATCTGTAATGCATAATTAGTAATTTTCGTTATTTTATGTAAGTTGCTCGATAAGAAATAAACATAAGTAAAAGGTGAAAATAATCTAATAAATCCTGTTAACAAAACGAATCGTGGACAGGGCAAAAACACGGACCCCTGGAAACACAAGAGGTGGAGTCAGGTGCCTTGCAGGAGTAAACATCCCCTGTCGACTGGACACACCAGCCGTGAGCTCACCCTATGCATGCATTGATGAGGTAGACGGCGGAGTATTCCGTAGTTAAATTTAGTATAGAAATAATGGTATGAAAAATGTCAGACGCGACCCAACGAAAGGTTGTATTTAAAAATAAGTTCATTATAACGAACGTAGAGTTTGCGAAAAACTGATTTACAATTAAAAAAGGAAAATCATAGAAATTAGCCAACGTTTATTCAAGTGAAATGAATGAATATTCAAATATTTTGAGGAAATTCTTCACTCTGTTGTTATCTTTTACGGTGTGTTTTAGAATTTTTATCTCAAAAATTTCATTTAAATTACAATGACTAAAATTTCCACTTAACTTATGTCAATCTTCTATGTAGAGCAAGCTGTTACCATCTTCAATATTATTGATATGATCAAAGTATAATAATTAATGTGTTTTATTACAAGCTTTACACAAGAATTCAATTTTTCACCATTGATTATATATACCATAAGAAAAGAGAGACTAACTCTAACTCAAAACGATTGCTGAAAAGAACTTTAAATCTTCAAATGAATCATTAAACATAATGCACCAATACATCCATATATTTTACACTGGTATTTGGAACATTCGCCATCAAAAAGTATAAAGACAACAATTAATTTACGAGTGTTAATTTCGGAGGCCACTATTGTGCTATTTTTACCTGCATAATTTAAAAAGAACATTAATGATTTTGTAATTTAAAAAAAAGTCAATATTGGCACATGTGGGTTTTTTTAAAATGCCTCTTTACAAACTTTTTTTCTATTTTTATCTGAAGGGAATTTGTACACAACTTCCGGTTTACATAGATATACAACTGTTAATGGCGGCTTCTTTACGTCCTTTACAAATTATACAGTTATAGCTTATTACTTGCCTCATTTCGATCTCCTCTTTTAAGTCGAGCTTTGTAAACTTTACCGTAGGTCCCTTTTCCTATTTCCTGAAGAACATCATAATCGTCTAAGGACGACATTTTATTTGCAAAAGCAGTTGTTTTCGTCTATAAATGCTGTTGTTCACAATAAAATCTCGTTTTACACCTGTTTGGCAGCAATCCATACCCCATATCCGTGTCGATCAATAAGTTGATTTGAAACGAACTTGATAGACTGGTTCTTTAAACAGGTCGAGGAATCTACCATATATGGATATTGTTGTCATTGCGCACAGAGGTGCTTACAGCGAGCAATCGTCCAATCCAATGAATGAGCCGAAAAGCACGATGGTCTACTACATGTTTATTTTTTACTACAAACACGTGGGTCAGGCAAATTTAGGACGCGATTTCAAATGACTGCGGGAAAGTCAACTAATAATTATTTTTAATGTTTTTGTGAAAAACACGAAGAATAGGTACTAATTAAGATTTTCCATGCTCACATCAACAAACAAAGTCAATTTTCCAAGTTAAATAGAATGTTGAAATACCGCTCACAAAGTCTTCGCAAGTAAACAAGAACCCAATTTTTATAACTTGATATTCGTAAATTTGCCATGCTACTGGTGTTATTCGTTCTTACTTTGTTATTTGTTTACTATACTGAAATTAAAAGTTAATGCAGTTATAAAAAACATAAATCTATTGCTGTACAGTATTTTAATTCTCATGTACATTGATCATGGAACGTGTATTGAGTAGCATATATATCGAAGTTGTAGACGTGGTAAACAATGACAATACGTGAGTACACTTCAGAGTCGATTTGTTTTGGACCAGGGAATAGTCACGTGAAATTCAAACTGACTGATAGTACAGCACGGGAAAAACTGCCAGGCTATTGTCAACAAACGGACTTATACAATGGAGTGGAGAAAACCCAAATTTTACCGTTGTAAAACATGTTTATGTAAATGTGAGCGTGGAACTAGTAGATAATGATGTACATATTATATTAAGTGTGTAAAATGCTTGCAAAAATGCATCATGTCTTTCCGAGAGCGATTTCAAAAACTGGCCTTTTCGAAACCTACATGTAGTATATTTTGTAGTAACCCATAATGCAACTCATTTAGCTGATTGGTCGGTTTGCCAGTCACGTTGGGTGCCTCATTTAGCATGTAAATTTATTCTGACGTCACGGAAAATAGTTTCCTCGACCTGTTAAATAAGGCACTACTTGTTCCCAAATAGGTCTTTAAGCTACACTCATTCAAAATTGCTGAAGAAAATGTGCATGCATTATTAATGATTTTTCAAAGAAGCATTAATAAACAAGAATATTGAAAATGTAAATTAAATTTGATAAATGGTATATTACGATTAACAAACTATTTTAAACTTCTGCAAACCAAAACAAGTTTAGTTTACAAGAGAAGAATATATATTTATATCAATATTCATTTCAATGAAAACTATTCTAAATGTGTAATCAAAGAGTGTTAAATTTGCGAAGTTTTTTTTAAAACTCTGACATCGTTGAATCTAGTGTCATTGAGGGAAAACTATAGTTTAAAACATATCCTTGACTTAAGTTTACGTTCTCAAAATACTAGTCTATCAAAAGCAAAACTTGGTTTACTCATTTTCGTGATTTTGACATGCCAAATGTAATGTAGGTTATAGGGATGGAATAAGCACTTTATAATATATGAATCTTTATAGCAGCGATCATATCCCTGAAGTTGTTATCACAGCAGTTTTATTAATCCACTGGCGATAAGTGAATTTTAGACTTGATATCTACGAAAGATAACAACAATGATTAAAACATAATAATTTATACTCATTTCTCATTCTCCTTAACTTCTGTACGGAAGCGAAGACTCGGTCAAGGTTCATAAGTAAAAATGTAAGTAATTTTATTTCTCTTTAGTTCATGATTTGTGTAGGAAAAAATATAGCTAGCATGACAATAATGAAAAGATCACTTGTTAACTTAAGCATCTTACCTAATTAATATGTACACGTACCCATGCATCAGGGTTTTTTTTCTTTTTAATCACTGTAAGGAATGGTAACGAAAAACAAATCAAAATCATAAATAATGCCACAACAGAGGAATCGCAGACAACGATAGCATACGGATATACTCTAGACAAAATTTCTAATCATTCATCTGCAAATACGACATCGGCCTCATCGACACAATTAATTGTTTAAATTGCCATCATGCTTTCTACAGTCGAATTTGCCGATGTCTTTTTTTCAACACAACACCCTCAAACGGCTCTCTTGCGCGCAAACTAAGCCAATTGCACAGTCCACACCTTTTGTGCGCTCAAATAAAATTGTCGGTTACCGCTGGTGGTAAGAGAAGTTGCAAAAACGATGGTGACCCCATCTCTCAAACGTCTAATATGTCACCTAGAAGTCACTTAGTGCTTTTACATCCATGCCGCTCCATCACACTTCCGGTTTCTACTGTTTTACAGTACAGTTTTGTATAGTCGTGTGGTTTTTATTAAATGTCGTGGTCATCTATGGAAGACATTTTTACATTCCTTAATCTAGTCAAAGTACTTTTCAATAAACAACAGTCTTTGAAAACGTTTTATTTTTAAGCAAACATCTCCAAAAGAACACCATACAGACATCATACCAGCTGTCCTACCACGCTCTTCTATGGTCAAACGCTGCATATCCAGTCATGAATTTTTTTCTGAGTTTTTAATGAGTGCTGATATAAAAGAAAATTCAAAACAAAAAATGGAAAGTTATTCCTCTTTTTAAAACGCGTGAGTACGATTTTCATGTATTTCTATGAAATGCTTACAATTCAGTTGTTTATTTATTTACCAATTTGGGCATTTGAAATCTTACTTTTAATCATTGTAATACAGGGTGTTTCAGCAAACATGTCCCGACTTTGTGGTTTCAATATAAAGTTAGAAAGTATTAATGCAAGAAATTTTTTACAAATATGAAAACCACATAACCAAACAATTTTATCAATATAAAAGTTGAAGTAATGCTAAATCAATTATATTTTTTTAAATAGGCATTTATAAAGTTTGAAAATCAGCAGCAGTTTTCAATTTAACGTCATTTTTTATGTGTTCGAAAAAACTGCAATGTTTTTTAGTCAGCATCTTCATTTTGTCTCTTAAGTCCTGTATGGCATATATTTTGACATCATTTGAAAATCTGTTTCCTAGAAAGATGGTTTTCATATGAGTACTTCTTTTTTCAAAATCTTATGTACTAGTATTGGTGATTTTGGAGATTTTTCTGTTTGTATTGTTTAGTTCAAAAACATCCATAGATCCATTTTTGGAGAAAAAATCCTGATAACCTGATTTTTGATGATGTAATTAAACTTCAATAGCAAAAAAATATATGACGTTATTTTATATTGTTTATATCACAATTACATTGCTGGAAAATGTGCTATAAAATACAGTTATAATTTTGAAAATATTTTATTATTGTGCAAAACTATAGACATAAAAAGTTGGGACATGTTTGTTGACACACCCTGTATATTTATATATAAGATACGTCTAAAACTATTTTTAAAAATGGAAAAGTTAATTTCCAATGGTGATGCTTTAGCATTTTTGTCTATTGTATAATCAAATCACATTCAACGAAGAATTCCCTTCAAAAAGAAAAATAAAAGACTACTATGTGCATGTAAGACTAAAAGTAGATATGATAATTAAGCATTTACGCTTTATTAGGTCATACTGTAATTGAATCAAGTAAAATTATGTTATCACAGCTTGCTCACCTATATGCATGACTGAGTATTGAATAAAACATCTAGTTCTTCAGAAATAATAAATTGATAAGAAGCATTGGTAAAATCATATTCTAATAAAAGATACTATTGCACAATTTTCTTACCAAATTTACATGTTTATAATGCAGTCTAAAACAAAGTTCTATGAGGTATATATCACAAGAAATGCAATATTAATATATGAGTGGTTACATGTTCATGTATACTCAGTATAAAAAAAAATGATCGTTAAATTCCAAAGATAAATATAGCGGTGATGTATGTGAATAACATCTCCTTACAAAAAATACTTCAGTGACTCAGGCAAATCATAGTTTAAAATAATAAAGGTTCTTATTACTATGGCATTGAAAATGTTATTTTTATGTATTCCAATAGTCAATCTCATTTTGTTTTTCTTATAACAACTGTTAACAAGTAATAATTACAGTGTATTTGTATTCTCGAATATTTTTTTCCATCTTGCTAAGAAGTTTGCAAAATAATCTTTGACTGGAAACTTCGAAAAGGTTTTAGAAAAAAGTAAATCAGAGTTTTATGTAAAAAATATCAAAGTAAATCACAATTTGAAAGACACATAGTAATACAATAGATAAATATAGTAAATTGTTGTCAGGGTACTGGCCCATGGAGGTGAAGTCGATTCTTTGACAGTCTTCTCATAGTCAGGTTACTGGCCCAGAGAGGTGATTTAGACCAGTTCTTAGTCGGATAAATCCTCTGTAGAGATCGGTATTGTGGTACCCCTTGAATATTCCCCTGATGATCTAAATTCTTGTAGATCCCTACGCCCGTCCTCAATACACTTCATAGCTTGCATCAGAGGATACAGTTTATAAAACAGGTCTTTGTCCATGTGTTTCATGACTTTTTCCTTCAGAAAAACAAACAACAAAATTATTTCATAAAGAAGCATGACCATTCTTACAATATACAAATAAATTACATATACATCAGATATAAATTTAGAAATTTTTTTTCGCATACAAAATCATGATTATAAAAGAAACTGAATTTTGATTTAATTCAAATACAGAATAATGAATACAAGGAACGGAACAATTACAACTGTGGAAAAATGAAAGAATGACAAACGTTTGACAAATATACCCTGAAATCTTTCTCCGGTGTTTCTTTTTTCTGTAGACTCTTAATGTAGGAAACAATATCAGCAGCTTTGTGACTTCTGATTTCCATCACTAGAGTCCTAGAAATACACAATGCCAATAGTGTAAACTCAACCCAGATTTGAAATAAAAATGCTTGTTATTTGGATTATTCTTCTGCATCAAATCTTCAACTCTGCTCAAAGAAGGCCGGGCGGTAAACAGTTGATACGTGTATGTACTAGCATCTTCAAACTAACTAAATTTACTTCACATATCATATTTTATTACATTAAAAAAGAAAAAAATCACAATGTTTTGGTTGTGTCAAGATACGGTGGCGTTATCTGTGTATATTATTTCAATTTTCTTCCCAGTCATGTCGTTCTAAAAATGTCGGGGCTCTTAATTAAAGAATTGCCTTGGACTATTATAGAATTGTCTGGGGCTATTATAGAATTGCAGGGGCTATCATAGAATTCCACAGGGTCATTATAAAATTGAATTGTCTGGAGCTGTTATTGAATTGCCTGAGGCTTTTAAAGAATTGCCTGGGGTTATTTTTTTTACTGAAATAAATTTATAATGTAAAAATCATCAAAGTTATTTTTGTCAAGGGCAGAAAAAATAGATGTAAATGGTCACACTTACGCCTGTAATTTAGCAGATTCTTTTTCGAGAAACTCCTTACTTTCAGAGGCCTTTCTTGGATCTAAAAACAGAGCGAAACAATGTCTTATTTACAATACTTCTTCATATATCAAGCAAGTATAATTTTAAAAATTTGAAATATATTTTAACGCATATTTTACCGAGACGGGATGCTAGTGAACTGGACACCTCTACACCTGAGTCTTTTAATGGCAAATGGTCTGTTTCTTCTGAAGAAGAAATCTTTATTTTTATTGTTATAAGATATTGTATTGAAATCATTCTTTTATCTTCTCACAACATGCTATAAAATCACTCATTTTCGCGGGAGGGGTGTAATTTTTGTCGTTTTCGTGGTATGAAGAGATCCACGAATTCATATCCACCACGAAGTTAAAATTCAAACATATAAGAATTCTACACGAAATCAAATCCTCACGAAACAATAATTACTTCCTCAATCCACAAAAAATTGAACCAACAAAAATAAGTTATTTGACAGTATATGCTGCTTGAATTTTTTTCTAAAAACATATTTTGTCAATATATGCAAAACATCCTGGTATTTCTTCTACCATGACTCTGAAATAAATATTCAAATTTTATAGGTACATTAAATAGCCAGATTTTTTTCATGCTGTCTAGTACTTACCTGTTTGGCGCTTTGACTTCTTGTTTTTCTTTTTCTTAGGCTTTGTCCCTTTCTCTTTGTAGTCTTTTATAAAGTGGAGAATACTTTTGATAGTAGGACGAGCTGCACTGTCATGACTCAGCATCTGTACAATAAGGTTCTTTATTTCGTCACTGTACTGGATTTTCGTTGTTTCTGGTATCTGAATATACAGAAATGGAATATGGAGATAATGGATAGTAATCAAGCTCAAAAGTCCATTGAAACAATACAAATCAGGAGCAGAGCAAACATAGACTTCGAAAAGCATCAGAGGTGGGATCAAGTGCCATGGGGAAGTAAGCATTCCTGTCGACCGGTCACACCCGCCTTGTGCTTTTTGTCATATCGGACAAACAGGAAAAAAACGCAGACAATTCACTGTGTAAATAATGGCCTAACAATTAGTATGAAAAACGTCAGTCGGCATTCAACTTAATGATAAATTGTATTTGCTGACAAGGTCATTTATCGACCATAGAACTTGCAAAATGACGACTTTAAACGAGACTGTTGATATCCCTGTTTCATCAAATACATGTAGTCAATAGCTTGCCTCGTTTTAGATATTGTAGGTACGTAAAGCATGCTCTGAGGTATCGAATCAACTGGGAGACATAAACCCCATACGCAGGTGATAAGAGTATATTGCTACGTAAGTAAGGGAAGTTGACGATAGAAAACTCTTCCTTCCCAGACACTTGTCTCAAAAACGGTCTAACATGCTCTATCATCCCAAACAATTATCGCAAAAACGGTCTTATATGTTTTATCATCCCAAACAATTGTCTCAAAAACGGTCTAACATGCTTTATCATCCCAAACAATTGTCTCAAAAACGGTCTAACATGCTTTATCATCCCAAACAATTGTCTCCAAAACGGTGTAATACACTTGATCATCCCAGATTATTGCCTTAAAACAGTCTGTCGTGCTATACCTTTCCAGACTTTACCACGGCGTTGATCTCTTGGACAGATTTCCCATCAAAGGCGTATGAACCTGTGGCAATTTCATAGCAAGTACATCCCAGACTCCATATATCTGCCTGGAGGCATCGAAAAGTATTTTAAAACTTGGTGAAAAATAAAATGTTTTCATGTGATAAGTTTTACCTTTTAACAGAAGTATTAAGTGAATGTAAAATCTTAAAATGCTTCACCCTTTAGCGGGACAGCTCTCAGAAAATGATACCATAGGAAGCTGGTGCAAAACCAAACGCAACAATTGAGAACTTTTACCTTTTGATCATACGACTTTCCTTGTATTATTTCAGGACACATGTAGTACGGTGTTCCAATTCCTTTTGTGTTAATCCCCGCGATTTCAATCATTCTTGATATGCAATCAAAAATAAAAATGTAATTGCATTGACAAAATTTAATAAAATGAAATCTGCATTGGATTTGCACTGTTTAGGTGGGGGATTTACATGTACAAGGTACACTCTTCATAAAAAGCAGGACTAGGTAGTAGTTTATTGATTTTAAAACAAGCAGAGATAAAATTCTTACTTGGCAACTCCAAAATCTGCTATTTTACAAGTGCCGTCTTCAGTCAACATGATGTTTTTTGTTTTCAAATCACGATGTATAATATTTAGGTCGTGAAGAACCTTAAATATATGAAAACTGTGTGAAAATTTTGCAGTACACTAAGGTACTTCAGTTAAATGGATGACATTTAAGGTCTAAAACACTTTTAAATCTTATCTCCCTTGTCAATAAGTTTGGTTTTACTTATACACCTAGATCTATCTGTTGAGACATAAATTCCTCTTTCCTCTACATCCAAGGCTATCTGTTGCAGTATATATATAAAATCTTTTTACATCTACACCTAAAGCTATCTGTTGCAGTATAGATATAAATTCTTTTTACCTCCACACCTAAGGCTATTTGTTGCAGTATATATATAAATTCTTTCTACCTCTACACCTAAGGCTATTTGTTGCAGTATAGATATAAATTCTTTTTACCTCTACACCTAAGGCTATCTGTTGCAGTAAAGATATAAATTAGTCTTACCTCTACACCTAAGGCTATTTGTTGCAATATATATATATATAAATCAGTTTTACCTCTACACTTAAGACTATCTGCTGCAGTATAAATTCTTTTTACCTCTACACCTAAGGCTATCTGTTGCAGTATAGATATAAATTCGTCCTCCGTGATTACTTTTTCTTTCTTCTTTAGGTCCCTTATTTTCTGATACAAGGTCCCACCACCACAATATTCCATTACAACACAGGGGATTCTGTTTTGTTTGAAGTAATCCTTGAAGGATACGATATTGGGGTGTTTCTTTTCCTCGGCCTTTTGTAAAACCTCTACCTCCCTTTCTACTAGTTCCCAGTGTCTACTTGTATCACTAGAGCCTTTGATGTGAATCAGCTTTACAGCGAAAGTCTCATCCTCAAATAATAAATAAATAAAAATATATAGAGATAAATAAATAAATAATAAACAAAAATACATATAATTAATTAAATACTTAGTAATACTTATCAGATTAGGTCAACTTGAGGATTTTTACAATTTATTAAGAAAATCACTGAAACATTTTTTTTTAATTGATAAAAGATACATTTAACAAATCATACTTCAGAACTTTTTATAAAATGACAATCCATCCTTCTAATGAATCCAAAAAGCAGCAAGTTCTATATATAATATTCATCTCATGTGCAGAAGAAAAAAAATTTGAAAATTGTCTTCCCTATAGAATTCCAATGAGTCATCAATATTTTTTTTAGTTCTACTGTATTCAGTGGAGCTTAAGTGGAAGCCTATTTGATCAATTGATAAAGTCCTCTGAAAAAATATTTATAATTTATTTCGAAATAAAGAAGGCAGATGCATGAAAAGTTTGGCAGTCTGCCGTCAATCTTACAAATGACAGACTACAGTTGGTATATCTTTATATCATTTTTTTTTCAAAGTTGAAAATAAATAAATAATATCAGCAGCATTAAATGTTTATAAAACACTTTCATTTTCAATTAGTGTTTCACTTAATAGATATACCTTGTTTTATATTTTATGTGTTGTTATCTTACTTATACACGGAAAGAACAATAGAAACAAAATTAAGGACAGATGATACAATTTTTTTCTTTGGAGGAGACTTAATATCATGTCACAGTTTTAGAAAAGTGGATAATTCTTTGAATATTTCTCCTTAGACTAGGAGAATGAAATACCTTCCATATATCCCCCAAAAAGTACACAACTAGAGTAATCATGGTAAAATTGTTTAATCTTCATTCATTTACCCTCTTTTTTTTCTTCAAAAATGTCCCTAAAGGAGCACAGAGACATGTAAAAGTTTAAGAAAAAGCTGGTTACTAAAGGGTACAGGTTAGTGAAATCTGTATTTATCAGCCCCTTAAGGTATATTGCAGGCATTTAAAAAGCTTCAGCAATCAAAAGAAAAAAAATCTACCCCAGAGGAAGTCTTGAATTTTATTTTTCTTTTAATTTTTTTAATCATTCTTAATGATATTGATATATTAATGCCTGACAATCAATAAAATCTTCATCACAATGCCTCGGATTGTAAATATACATTAATGCATTTAACTATAGAACATACATGTTTTTCTTTTACAAACTGCATCATTCATTTTCAATATCGACGTGCAAAAAATACTGTTTATTTCTCATACATGACTGATTTTTACTTCATTTTGCGATTAAAATGTTAAGATGAAAAGCACCATTGCGTAAACGCTTAATAAATAATCCCGGAAGAATTTAAATGATAAGATTCCATGAGGTAAGAACTTTTAAAGGACAGATGCAATTTAATAAAGCACATAGTCTAAAGTTTTAACATCTAGTTAAAATATGATTTCATCGCGCTATTTAGATTTTGTTCTTGAATTTTGTAATCTTAATGTCCGTAATATCTACTTAAAAAAAAGGAAAACAATGGCCAGATAATTAGAACTTCATGAACTACCGACTGAAATAGTTATGTGTTTACCACTGACATGTGGTAGCTTGTGCTTTTAGTAATAATACAACTGTATAGAAAAATTAAAACGACGTTGTAAACAAAAATGTTTAAAGTCCACTTTATTTTTAGCATTGTCTTTGAGATTTAAAGATTTTCAATGATTCTTTCCCAGAAGCACCAATACTATTCCAATTCATTTATTGATATTTATTAACATAGCAATAGAACCGTTTCAAAGGCTGACGCTTTCATATACAGCAGACATTAAGCTATATTAAAACTTAGTGATCTCAAGTTTTTGGAACCTACCGAGAGCATTGTGGTGGTCGAGGTGCCCTCTTTCAAAATCTTTCTGGCTTTATACACGTATCCATAGGTCCCCCTCCCTATCAGCTGCTCCAACTTATAATCCCCGTATGCTTTACCCTCCTCTTTATCCATACTGCATCAAACATTTAAGGAACTCTGATTTTACGGAGTAACTTTGTCTCCTTATAGTATTAGATATAGTAAACAAAGTAAATTCCACCTGAGAATGGGTTTGCACTGCGCATGTGTTTCGGATAATACCTTTTCTATGTACGAGAATGGCACAGTTCCAATATATTAAACTTCCGTGTTTAGAAAAGAGAAGCAAATTCTATTAATTCTGATTAGTATATAATTTTATCTATGACAAGGCATAAAACATATTGATTTAGTTCGTATGATAACTCCTTGATCAACAGATGAAAATGTATTTGTTCTTAATGAAAAGATTGATGATGTCTTTTTAATATGTGTTTTTCTTTCTCAAATTAAGGTCAGACAATACGTTCCTCAAATATTTGTTTTGCAAATCTTCGTAATGTATGAAAAATATTTAAAATTAATTTTAATTATCTTTTGATTTCTTAGCAGGTTTCTTATTGTCTTTAGAGTAATCGAAACACTTAAAAGAGTGATATTGGCATATTAAGTTTTTCCCAAAAGGATTATATAGGAAACAATATCCTCTGGTATCGTGCACAAATGCCTAGTAAGGTACCTCAATTTTTTTGCGAGTAAACATGTTAAAGTAGCAATACTTCAATGACAAAATCTTGGAAAAATTCATATATTATTGAGGAACGTATCGTCTGTCCTTAACAGTTTCTGCTATCATGCCAATTTCTAATACGCTGTAAATATAATACACATTACAGAGCACACAACATGATGCATTCTAGACATTTCCTGAATAAGTTTGCTAAAGAAATAAAACTACATGACAGAAATCAATATTCTTAAAGCATACTTCTATTTTTAGGTAGAACAGCAGGAATAAACTAAGGCATATGAGGTGCCAAAAATTGTCTCGTTAAGTAAATAACCAAGTCCGTATTGTCCGGTGACAAGCTCTGACAAGCGTAAGATGTTTAACAAGTTTCTGTTATCTTGCGTTTTCTTTCGTTGGACAGTGTCTCTGTAAGAGTTGTGGCTTATTGACCTTTTATTACCAACATTGTTTTCCATTGTAAAAGACTATTTAAAACAAACAGCATTTTGACTATACATTTGAATAACGTAACCTCCTTGTTCATGTATCAATCAATGTTAGAAAGATTTGAATGCTAGATACTTCGAATTTTATCCCCTTGGACAGGGAAGTAAAAATAAAGACAGACTTATAAATTTCATTTTTTTTCCGTTTAAGTATTATTCAAGGTTCATCGTAAAGCAAAGACTTACAATTTTCAATTTTTCGTTTAAGTATGATTCAAGGTTCATTGGAAAAGCTAAGATTTACAAATTTCCATTTTTCCTTTAAGTATGATTCAGGGTTCATTGTAAAGCTAAGACTTACAAATTTCAATTTTTTGTTTAAGTTTGATTCAGGGTTCATTGGAAAAGCTAAGATTTACAAATTTCCATTTTTCCTTTAAGTATGATTCAGGGTTCATTGTAAAGCTAAGACTTACAAATTTCAATTTTTTGTTTAAGTTTGATTCAGGGTTCAGTGTAAAGCTAATACTTATAAATTTCCATTTTTTCCGTTAAGTATGATTCAGGGTTCATTGTAAAGCTGAGACTTACAATTTTCAATTTTTCGTTTGTTTGATTCAGGGTTCAATGTAAAGCTAAGAAATTTCTGTTAATTTTTTATTTAGGGTTCAGTGTAATAGGAGACATTATTTTACAAACAATACGAATATTTTTTATGCTCACTTCTCCAGAATATGTATAATTGACTCTGACGAATTAAGAAACCTTTTGTATCAGTAATACTGATGGTGTTTTTGTGAAGAGAATAAGATTGCATTTTCTGGAACACAAAAATCAACTTGAATAAAAGTACACACGTTGATTCTTGTAGAGTATAGATTCATTTTTTCAGAAGTCAAAATGAATAAAACTAAAACTTCAGGCTCTTAAGTTAAAATTATGAGTTCTGATGTTCATCATACTTACTACGTTACATGTAGATAAGTGTTTCTTTGGAACCTGAAAGACAAAACATTGAATGAAATTAACAAGCAGGGACTTTCTTTATCTATAGATTTGTCTGTTTAATCAAAGCATTTGCTTTAAATTATAAGTCACCATGACCGCAAATTTAAGAGTCGATTACATGTTTTTCAAAATCCACATTTCGGTAAGCTTTTTGACATTTAGTGCACAATGTGTCATATCAGATGTTTTCTTCACGATCGGTCTTAATTTGATCATTTTTAAACGTATTAAATAGTAGAGAAAGAAACTTTTTCACATGAAAGAAGGAAAATCCACTTTGGGACTTTTGATAGAGCTTTTCCAATTATCGTTATTACTGTCCTGAGAATGATTAAATAGGATTCCTTGTTCAGAAGAAATGTTATCTGATAAACATGACTTCTTTGTCAGTGATAAGATAGAACACTCATCAGAGGAATAGAAAAGGTCATTAGATTTAGTTAAAAAATAGCAGACTTATCATACAAACCATGTAAAAATAAATACAAAATAAAACATATCTATGGTGGCATATTTATGCCCTCCAGATAATTTTTGTTAACATAAGATATCGCGTCGAGCCAAGTAAACTATCTCGTCAAGTCAAGATAACTTGCTGGTTTTGTCGAGATACAAAAACTTCTATCTCGTCTAGTCAAAATAAGCTATCATATTTTGTTGTGATACCTTCCTCGACCTGGCGAGATAATTTATCTTGTATCATGACTAAAATTGTTGCGTTGACAAGTACTGCCTCTTCATTGCCGTCACGATAACTGTATACTCATACACGTATGTACGAGGGTTGTCCGTAAAGTTCGTGGACAACCTTGATAATTACTGACAAACATTGATAAAATATATGAAACTATTATTTTCATTAAATTCATGTTTCATTTCATTAATATACAAGTTTTCATCACAAACAAAGCACAAATAGCTATATTTTTATCAGATACAAAAAGACACACATTCATACCCGGAGCACTAAAATGAAAATCCATGACGTTACCCGACGTCAAAAGTTAAAAAAACATTTAACTTTTCTCAACGTAGTCAACGTTTAACCCAATGCATTTCTTATGTCGCTTTAACCAGTCATCAAAAATGTGCACAAACTGTTCTGGTTTCATACGTGAAATAATATTTAACACTTCCTGACTAAGATCTTAAAAATCATAATACCTCAGTCCGCGTAAAAACGACTTTATGTATGGAAATAGAACTATTAGTCGCCGATCATTGTTAATCACGTCACAATTAAGCTTCATTTTTTACAGTCTGCAATCTCGGAAAGATGGTCTTCCTTCTCGCAGGTCATCCTATAAACTATATCTTCCGTCCGAAAATAGTTTGTGACACTTAAACGCTAAAGAACGGCCTACTTTGCTATGTTTTCCCGACTGTTTAAGGAATTTAAGGGTCTCTGTTGGTGTTTTTCCGATGTCTACACAGACTTTTATCACTGCTCTATGCTCCACCTTTTCCGAAAACGTCCCTTTTTTGAACAACGACGATCTTGTCTTGATAGATTTTAACCTCGATTTCTCTGCCATTTCGAAACTTTGAACATTCAAATTTTGCAGATTTGATGCTAAAACTTGTGTCAACGTCATAATGCGAAAGTCATCCAAATTTTCGCGTAATTTTACAAAATACAGATGAAATGTATTAAGGTATGTCACTCGTCAGCTTTTAAGAAAAGTACAGTCAGAACCTCTAACTTCAATACTATTTATTATAACTCAATTTTTATAACATATTTGAATTAAACAACGCAAATTATACAACATTCAATTTAAAAACTGCTCACAATTTCATAAAGAAACAAGATTTATGAGGGACTATTTCTTGTGATGGAAGGATATTTAGAAGAAAATCTACACATTTGTTGAATTTAATATTTTGGAACTTTAAACCCACATACTTTTACTCAGAGAATATTTTCCGTTAACATATGCTAGGGATATTAAATATAGGTTTCAATTTATATTTTTAGAACAAATTTGACACATTCATCAACAGACTTTGCCAAGAAAAGAAGATATATTAAAGAAGTCAAGATAAAATTTACACTGTTTTTTGCCTGAAAATCGCATATTTTGACCAATATCTCAAAATTTACATCACTGACCCCAACTTTTACTTTCATTATTTTAAACTACACGATACCCCCAACCGATCACCACTAAAGTAATAAAAAGTTTGATACAAGAAATTATTTTATTGCCTATTTAGATTTTTTATACTCCAAATAAGATACTTTTAAAGTGTAAAAAGATCACACAATAATTTATGCGCATTAATTTGCATGATTTGTTCAATGATAAATATTATTCAAACTATTTTACGTAAAATAAGATTATATTTATTGCCGTGATTACATCTGATAAAATATGATAAAGATTAACATAATAAAAGTGATTAACCTAAGAGTTACAAATTTAAGTGCAAAAAGGTCAAGTTAATTGTACCGTTGCTCAGTAAGATGCACACTGACCCCCAATTTTCTTTACGATTTTGAGTCATGCTATATGAGTACTTATCTAAAATATATTTATCAAAAAATCCTTGATATAACTAATTTCACGAGTGACATACCTTAAGTTGTTAAATAACTTTTTATTTAAAAGTTTGCCGTGCTCCGGGTCACCATCCCAAGTCTAATAATGAAGTCATAATTGTAATTATACATTTGAAATTGAATAAAATTTTACATTTTGTAATTCAAATATAGTAAAGGATTATAAATATGCTAATAATAAATATCTTTGACACAAATTTTATTTAAATCTTAGCTTGTCCACGAACTTTACGGACAACCCTCGTATGTATTTACAGATGACGTGTTATGGGTGTCTCAGTCATTTTCCAGTGAAATTATGCTGATCTCTTTTATTGAAATTATTCTTCAAATTCGTCACTGTTATTGAATCGATTTAATTACTAGAGGAACATAATTTTTAGAGATAAAGATTTTCTTATAAACCGTTCCATACATATTTTTCTTAAAA